CAGACGATTGGCCCGACTTGCCTTGTTGGGCATCCGCCGGCTGTTGTCTGCGCCTGACGAGCCACATCGACTTCGGGATACCAGCCCGAAGTCGCCTGCGCCATCGCGATCTCGACGACGTTCGCATGCCTCCGCAGAACTCGTCGAGCTGGTTACCCGGTCGACCTGGTCGACCCCTGGTGCTCTGGTCGACTCCCAGGTGCCTCCCGTCGACCACTGGGTCCATCTGGTCGACCACCGGGCGCTCCTGGTCGACCACACCTCCCGTCAAGCTACCCCTTGGTCGACGGACCCCTTCCGTCAACCAGAACTGCTCCGTCGACCTCCCGGTCGAACTGCAGTTCGACGGGATGCTCCGTTGACCTCCCGGTCGAGTTGCAGTTCGATGGGATGCTCCATAGACCTCCCCGTCGAACTGTAGGTCGACAGACTGCTTCGTCGACCTCCCAGACGGCTCACCCGTCGCCCAGGCCAGTCAATTGCAGCTGTCGAGCATCCTGGTCGACAGCAACACCACAGCGGTCCGCTGCAGCTCGTCGTAACCTGTCGAGCAGCTATCCTACTGTGAGCGGTCGGCTGCTACTCCCGTACATCCGACCAAGTTGTCGGCGTTGCCCAAGCGAGGGCGGGGCCAACACTCCATTCCCGTTAACAGTGATCCACCCTGAGCTTGCTTTGCTTCTCTTGACTGGTCTTGTGACCCCTTGTTCTCCCCCACTTTGCCTATGGGGGTGTGTCAAACGTTATATCTGCTATATATATGTTTAGGCTGTAGTGGGGTAGCCAATATGGGGTACAACCCACTAAAGGGTTTCATATTTGTACCCAACTCTTCCATAATTCAATCATTTCCTGCTGCTAGATTCTAACACTGAACTCATCAGAGTACACTCCCGAAAAACTCTGAAACGTCAGAGTCAGCCTACGTATAAAAAAATCAGATTTTCAGAGTTAGAAGCAAAAGAAAATCTGATTTTTACAGAGTTCACCCTAAAAAAAATCTGAAATCTCAGACTACCGTAAAACAAGCACATCAGACATAAGACTCTGACTTCTGGGGGCCTGGTACGTGGCCAGGACACAACAGCAAAGAAAAAACAGTATTTTTGATGAGATGGCTCCATTGACTTTGATACAATTATGTATGGGGTGGGGGAACACCTATTTGGCTGAGCATGAATACAAGGTCCCACCCACACACAACTGCTAAACGTCACATGGAGATGCGATGCATTGAGGTGTCGGAAAGGAACCGTCAACCTTACAATGCAAAGCCTTCAGTACCCATGGCATGGCGATTCAGGTACCTCAGAAGGGCATCATCCACCCTGCACACAGGAAAGCAGCCAAGAAAACACAAATTGGCACACAAGTTTGAGTAAGCGAGCAGATTTTCCAGAACCTCCATAGCAGTGAGTGAGAGAAGCACCCGCAAAGCAGTGAGGCACCACACCACACACTGGCCAATGGAAGAAAACAAATCAACATTTGTTCCAGCAGAGAGTACCCACCACGGGAGAGCATAAAACTCTGCATCTTGGTCTGCAGTCTCAGGACCAAATGCCTGTGCACCTCCAGCACCTTCCACTCCTCCCTGCTGCATCTGATCCAGATCTCTTTGCTGTGAAACCATCAAGTCCCTGATAAACTCCCCAGGAGAGTGTGAAAACGCTAGGAAAAAGGCGCGACGCCGCCGGTGCTTAGCTAAAAGCTCAGCATCTTTTGCCATGGCTGCATCAATAGCATCAATCTCTGGCTGCTGACCCATCGCTGCAATCACACGGGCTGTCTCCGCTGCGAGAGCAGGAGCTTCTGTTACAGTCACATCCACACAGGTGTCTGCTGAAACAGGAGGGAGGGTCTCATACGAAGGGAGGGTGGTGGGTGGGCCCAGTGGATGAAAGGGAGGATCTAAAGAAGGGAGTGTGGCGGAGTGTGTGGGGCAGGTGGCGAGGGAGATGCGGTGGGTGATGGTGAGAGGCGGTGGTGGAGAGAGGAATGGGGAGATGTGGATAGGGAGGGAGGAGATTCTGAGCTTGTCTTGCTTGAAGAGGGCTTGGAGGGTAGAATCACAGGTGAAAGAGGAAGGATCCGAGGGGTCCTGTTGGAGAAAGAGCAGCAAATCGGGGCGATGAGCTTGGTAGTAAGAGAGAAACAACAGTACAACGGGGGGATGGGGATGGTAAGGGATAAATAACAGCAAAATGAGGAATGTAGATGGCAAGGGAGAAACAACAGAAGAATGTGGGGAACCAGACCCTACATCAGCAGTAGATGGAAGGAGGAGGAATCGAGAAACTTGCTAGGATCAACTCTGAAAGAGCTGCTAAGCAACACAGGATATGGAATAAGAGCTGTTACAGAAAATAAAACTACTCACCTGTAGCTTGTTAGCCCTGATATGATTCCAAAGGCCCTCCAAGACTTGCAGCCTGGTCGCCACTCTCATCCCCACCACCGCCCCTAACCGTTCTTCCACACTGTACACTTCCTCCCCCTGCTTCAGCTCCACACGAAGCTCCACCAGAGATTCACTGGTCCCCTCTCGCTGCATCTCCACCGTTGATGCATCTGGTCGGAGGATCCCGTCCTTGTCAGCGTCCCACAGGGTCACCGCGTTGTTGGGTGGCGGGAACAGCTTCAGGTCGAGCCGAGCCTCGATCCGCTGGACGTGCCGAGCCAATGGTCCAGCCACGGCATCCCGAACCTTGAAAACTCCTGAGCCTAGCAAAGCCTGGCTCAAGCCTGATTCTCCAACGCCTGAATCCGATCCGCGAGACTCTGCATCTGCTAATATCGCGGAAATTGCTGAAGAACGCTCCTTATCGGTGCTTCCGACGCGCTTAGTGCTCAGGGGAGTCCTTTCTCCTTGGGAATCACCTGTCTGAGTACCGAATTGCTCCTCGTCTTCTCCCACCATTCGAGCTACGACTCTTAAAGTCCAGCGAGGCACATCATCGGCTACGATCAACCCATCTACATCCGATTTTATTCCGCTCTGCACTGCGCGATCCTGGAACGAGTGGGTATTAAAGACGTAAAGCCGGAGGTTTCGCGTGACACGTGGCATGACGTGGATGGACTCGGAAAGCTCCACCTTCACACGCGATAGGACGATATCCATCTGTCGCTCCTCGGCCTGGAGCCGCGTAAGCATAGCCGACTCGGGAGCCAAGATCGCCGAAAAGCCGTCGCCGGTTTTTAAAGACGCGTTCGGTCCTTTCACTCTCTCCTTATACTTCTTGCGCTTAGCGGGAGGTATAGCTTCTGTTGTCAAGATTCTGACGTCGGCGGCTGCTTTACTACCCGAGCCGTCTTTACCGTCCTTAGTTAATTTGCTCGCATCTCTCCTACCTCCTAGACCCATTGACGTGCGTCCAGACGCCATACCCGTAAACCGTCTGCTCGTCTTATTGCTATTTTATTCTTGTTTTTTTTTTTTTCAATTACGATTTTCCTGCGCGGAAAATAATCAAGCTTCCTTGCGCACACGACAGTGCTCTGCTAGTCAGCCGTGCAACACAAAATCCTCATCGCGTGAAGGGCTCATCAGTATTTTCGGACGGAACATAACTAAGTCGTGAAACCCCAGTCTTGGACCCTCAAGACGAAGGATGCGGAATATTATGACCAAAGAAGTGTGCACTAGCTAAGTGTCTCGATGGTGTTACATCGTCACGTTTTTCTACAGTTAATGACTTCAGCAAAGACAGGAATTGCGTGAAGAACGTGGGACGTAAAACCGTAGAGGTCACGCTTAGCATTGATAGGGCGTATTTAACAAGTAACCCGACGATATTACTTAACTGGAAGTCAGCTGTGCTCACCGTCAATCCGAACACGCCCCTCGGAAGAAAGAAACTTCACAACCAGGTGTGAGAAGTAGAACTTCTGTACGGTTCAGTGAACTTATGTTCGTTTTTTAGGTTGACGTTAACGTATCAGAACGGTTCGTAAGGTTGTTAGGAGCATAATAGTCGCCAGTCCGGCTTTTCTCGTCACAGGCACGCCAGGCAGTGCTTGGCCTAGATTTGTCCGCAGCAGCCCAGTCTGTCGGATACCTTGTAATGCTCGCCATCACGCCTCGAACCGCAGCGGGCGGCACAATCGAAGACACTGAGCTGGCGTCAGCATCTGAAAGCAATTTAGGGTGACGAGCAGGAACGATCGCGTGCCCTTCTTTTTCTTCCTGATATGGTGATCGCAGTTATGGCGACCGTTGTCACAGGACGCTCGGAATGCGTCAACGTCAGACTCACTGCGACAGATATCGTCAGCTTTCGACGTGTCGCCATTGCTCCACCATCTCACGGCGATCAGCTCTCTGCAGCGCGCAGACAGCGTGCACGTTACAACCCACGCCACGCTCTCACCAGTGTCACGGCGACACACCGATGCAACAACATTCGTTGTCATTCCGCCATCGCACTGCGACAATCAACGAAACCACCTTCCGCGGTGCTGCTGCTCACGGTTGACGGACCATTCCTAGGAGAGTTTTTTTTTAGTAATGAGACGTTTCAAAAATTCCAAGGAGTAATTCTGTGAGTTACTGCTGCGCGGTGCTGCTGCTCACTTGAAGTGGGCTCGTGTACCAAGTAGTATTCCGCACGAGTCACAGGTCACAGGTCATTCTTCTTAGGAGGAGGAACAGCTCAAACCCTAACATCTTGCGCCAGTCACGGACCTGGCTTCCACCTTCCACTGCGTGTTTTTGAGAATTCTCGAGCACACCCTGCAAGGTCAACAGACAAGCTTGCACGCCAGAAGCACCAGCGGGACGGGCGCCCGACGTGGTTCCCTCGCGTTTTCTGAGACGTTTTGAAGCACCAGCAGCGCCAGCTACTGCTGACCGTGTTGCTAAGTTGTGGTGAAGTGATTCTAAGCGGACGCGTAGACCTCTGGTGCTTTAGCTCCCCAGGACAACGGCTCCTCTGTCGCTTCCCACTCTCGTATCAAGTAGCTCCCCTTCAACAGGAGCTGGCGACGCCAGCAGCGAGATGTCACCCAAAATGACAACCACATGTGAGGAAACGTTAGAGGGACTTGTGCAGGCGTGGCGAGAAGAATCATCGAGCGAGAACGTGAACGGTCAGCGAGAAAACCCCTCCACTGTGAACTATCCAGCCTGGGCCAATCTTCGGGCCAAGTCGCAACTGCTTCTGGGCTCTGTGCTTGCCGTCTCACTGCTGCTGGTGATGATGGTGATTGCTGTCAGCGTCTCCTCCTCTGCATCCCTACAGCCATTCGGGCCTACACAGAGGGGCATGGGGTCAACGCAGCAGCATGGGGTGGCACGAGTTGCTGGGATGGTGGTACGTGGTCTCTTGGAAACGGGGAGAGCTGGGAGGCGGGGGCTTCAGGAGCCGTTGGGTGGCTCGGGCATGGGAGACGAGTCAAACGCCGGTGCTACCACCACCAGCAGCAGCAGCAACAGCAGTAACTTGTATCCTGCTGGTAACCCTGATCGGCCTGAGGGTGCTGCTACCAGCACTAGCGCTGGTAACGATTCAAGGGGTGATGGCAGCAGCAGCACTGCGGAAACCAGTATTATTAGTCCTGATGGCAGCAACACAGGAGCTGGTAATACCAGGGGCCCCACCAGCATCACGCCTGCAGGCAATAGCGCTGTTGCTGGTAACAGCACTGGAGCTCGTAACAGCACTGGAGCTGGTAACTTTACTAGAACCAGTAACGCCACAGCTCCCAGCAGCAGCACAACGCCTGGGGGGAACAGCAGTGCTGCTAGCAATGGCACGGAGGGGGGGGTGTTGCAGAACGTCACTGGGGCTGCTGGCCATGGCACGGAGGGGGGTGCGGTGCGGTACTTCACGGTGGGGCAGGAGGCGTTCGTGTGGGGTTCTCCTCTCGTCACCTTCTTCCGCCAGCAGGCCACCCGTGCTGCCCTCAACGCCTTCTCCTACGCCAACACCACCGCTGTTGTCGGCACCACCAGTGAGTTGCAATCCCCTTTCGATGCACTTGTTAGGATCTTTTGATGCCAACACGACTGCCGTCGTTGGCACCACCAATGAGTTGAGAGCACAAGCAGCATGTGCGAGCTTTGTACAGCTTTCGTTGTCGGTACTAGCAGTGAGTCATGCTTGGTTTTTCGATGCGTCATTCTGATGGGTGGTTGTCCTCTGATGCACAAACCGATCAATTTCTTCTCCTTCATCAACAAGACCACCACTGTTGTCGGTACCACCAGTGAGTCATGCTTGCTTCTCGGTGGTGGTACCGACAACAGTGGTGCGCCATTCTGATGTATACCTCTGATGCACACTAGTGGAATCTCCTCTCCTTCACCAACAACACTGCCGTTGTTGGTACCACCGGTGCATCTGTCTCCTGATGATGATTGCATCTTTCTCATGATCCAATATTTTATGCGACTGTCTCGTACGCCAACACCACTGCTGCTGCCAGTCAGCACCACAGTGAGCTGTGCATTTTATGCTAGTGCGTCCTTCGGTGGATCCTTCGGTGGATGCGTTATTTTGAAAAGCAGGCGCATGCGCCCCCAGTAACCGAGAGCGTCACACAAGTAGCTTGTGCAGTAAAGCCCTCCATGGACGCTGACAGAAGAGTCTTCTTGAGATGACTCAAAAATACACTTTTGATCATCTCAAAAATACACTTTTGATCACGAGAGCACCACAAGGCCGCTTGTGCTGTAAAGTCCTGCCTTCCTCTTCTTCTTGCTCCAGAATCTTCCGCTTGTGCGTTACTCTCATTCCGTCCCCCAATCTCTCACCCCCAACACGTGGCTTTCTCCACGATGCCCAGTACAGTCAGGGTCCCACCATGAGTGAGTGCATCCTTCCTCGTTTTGAGGCGCCTCAAAACTAGCTGTGGCTTTCCCCAATAAGCACTGTGCAGACAGGGACCTACCATGAGACGTTGCATCCTTCCTCGTCCCCTTTCCCGTCCCCTTCCATCTCGTCCCCTTTCCCGTCCCCTTCCCTCTCGTCCCCTACCTCTTCCTCCAGAGGACTGGGACCCACCGTTGCACTGCAGACCTTCACATTCTCATCCCCTCTCCCTCCTAATTCATCCCCATGTGGCTGTCCTCTCCCCAATTGACTTTTGAGTCGACTCAAAAGTCAACTCGCTAATTCATCCCCATGTGGCTGTCCTCTCCCCAATTGACTTTTGAGTCGACTCAAAAGTCAACTCGCTAATTCATCCCCATGTGGCTGTCCTCTCCCCAATTGACTTTTGAGTCGACTCAAAAGTCAACTCGCTAATTCATCCCCATGTGGCTGTCCTCTCCCCAATTGACTTTTGAGTCGACTCAAAAGTCAACTCGCTAATTCATCCCCATGTGGCTGTCCTCTCCCCAATGTAGACACGGTGTATGGAGGAGCCTTCCCCCTTCCTTCCAAGGTTCAGGAAACCACCTCCCACTGCACGCCTTCCCAATCTCTTACCGTTTCCCCCCACCCCTCCAGATGTGGCTCTCCCCAATGTGGACACGGTGTATGGAGGGGCCTTCCTCTACCTGCGAGACCAACCGATGGTGCTGAGAACCCCCTACATGGGCCAAGGCCGTTATTACAGGTGAGGAGGAGTGTTCAAATAGCGCTGCTACAGGTGAGGAGGAGTGTGCAAATAGCGCTACTACAGGTGCTAATTGAAGCTTGAAACTCGGTACCTTATTCGAGTATTTGCTCGAATACTGGATTGCTTGCATATCTGATTTAATCTGCTTATAGTCTTTATAAACCACTCGCCTCCAATCCCACCCTCTCCTCCTCCCTTGTATCAGGCTCTTCCAGTGTGAATGGCAGCCGAGCCAAAGGACCAGGACCCAACGCGTCTCTAGTGTGAATCGCCTCCCCCCAAACCATTTCCCCTCTAAACCAATCCCTCTTGGCCCCCATCTGTTCGGCGGTGTCGGATTCTTCCAGACTGACTACTCGGATTTCATTTTGGTGATGGGTCCAATCCAACCCACTCTCTCTCATCTAACCCTTTCCTTCCTCCATCCTTTAAATGGCAGCGTCGGGTTCTTCCAGACCTATTACTCGGATTTCAGTGTGAACGGCAGCCGAGCCAACGGGCCAGGCCCCAACACGTTCACTCTAGTCGGGCCCAACTGGGCCGGAGAGCTGCCTGGTGACCTTGCACCTACAGTCATACGGGTGAGTGCGATTACCAGTATTTCCAATAACGGCGTCGTTTCATTGACTAATGCTCCCAACACGTTCACTCTAGTCGGGCCCAACTGGGCCGGAGAGCTGCCTGGTGACCTTGCACCTACAGTCATACGGGTGAGTGCGATTACCAGTATTTCCAATAACGGCGTCGTTTCATTGACTAATGCTCCCAACACGTTCACTCTAGTCGGGCCCAACTGGGCCGGAGAGCTGCCTGCTGACCTCGCACCTACCGTCATACGGGTGGGGAGTAGTCCATCTATTGTCAATACATGCATAGCTACCTTCCTACACACGTGTAACCAATCCCCCAACACGTTCACTGTTGTTGGGCCCGACTGGGCTGGGGAGCAGCCTGCTGACCTCGCACCCACCGCCATACGGGTGAGAATTCTTTTAATGCGTGCATAGGTAGTTTCCTAACTACGTGCACCCATGCTCTCCCAACACGTTTATAGTTGTCGGGCCCCGGCAGGGGAGCTCCCAACTGACCTCGCACCCACAGTCATTCAGGTGAGAATCCCATCAATACAGGCATAGGTAGTTCTCTAAATATGTACCATGCACCCTTGGCCCCCCCACCGTCATACATGTGAGAAGAATATTTCCAATAAGGGCATAGGTGGTTCCCTAAACACTTGCACCCATGCTTCCGACCTGTTCACTGTTGCCTTTCCCCCTTCCCGTCCCACAGTCGCCCACCAATGACGCTCTCCTGCTGATGCGAGTGGTCGTGTCCGCAAATGTCTCCAACGACCTTGCTACAGTGCTCGACCTCTACAGTCAAGTCTCGCTACAGTCACTCTCAGAGGCGCTAGGCGGGCCTGCAGTTGCGCCCCTCCCCAATCCGCCCCTCCCCAGCTCCAACCTCTCCGAAGCCCTCCAGGTGAGTGAATAGTGGCCCTTGTGCTCCCTCGTTTCAATCAGTGCCCCTCCAGGTGGCAGTGCCCTCCAGGTGGCAGTGCCCCTCCAGGTGGCAGTGCCCTCCAGGTGGCAGTGCCCCTCCAGGTGGCAGTGCCATCCAGGTGGCAGTGCCCCTCCACGTGGCAGTGCCCTCCATATGGCAGTGCCCTCCAGATGGCAGTGCCCTCCAGATGGCAGTGCCCTCCAGATGGCAGTGCCCTCCAAATGGCAGTGCCCTCCAGATGGCAGTGCCCTCCAGATGGCAGTGCCCTCCAGATGGCAATGCCCTCCAGATGGCAGTGCCCTCCAGATGGCAGTGCCCTCCAGATGGCAGTGCCCTCCAGATGGCAGTGCCCTCCAGGTGGCAGTGCCCTCCAGATGGCAGTGCCCTCCAGGTGGCAGTGCCCTCCAGGTGAGCAGTGCCCTCCAGGTGGCAGTGCCCTCCAGGTGGCAGTGCCCTCTAGGTGGCAGTTGTCAGAACTTAGGCTACTAGCAAGTGTGCGGAAGTTCGGGTGCCCGAGCCGATGGTGGTAAAGGATGGTTGGGTTGGAGAGGCTGCGACATGAGCATGGTGTGATAGTAGCTTGTGCTTGGGTGGTTGACACCTGCGGGAGAGGTACGCGTAGCGTGTAGAGGCCACTGCTATTGAGGGTGAAGCGGGCCAAGATTTGTTGGTGAGTGGATCGATGATGTCGCAATGGTCCTCGTTCTCCGAGAAGATGGTGCGTAGTCCTGCATCCTGAATTTCCGTTTGAGCCACTAGATTGTGGCGTAGTGAAGGCACGCACATGCCAGTGACAGTGCCAGATGGGAAGGCGGGGCACAGGACTGTGGATGTACCCTTGGCAAGAGTGGTGAAGCTTGAGTCAGCTCCCAAGAGAGGAATGGGTGTTGCGTAGGGTTTGAAGGAGAGTGTCTCCTTGAGCACAGTGTGGGTGGCCCTGCTGTCGAGTGTGAACTCTATGTATTGTGGTGCCTGTGATGAGCCGATGTACTGGGAGGTAGCTTCATTAATCATGACAGTGCCAAGAAACAACAGGTTGATACGCACATCAGCAGGAGCACTATCACTAGCACTACGAGGGCGCATCCAGTTTGGCGGCTTCTTGTCCACTCCGTGAATGACATACCATTCGTCGTCTTTCTTCTTGAAGCACGTAGCAAGGGGGTGGTTAATGCCACCACACACTTGTCCCTTGCGGTTGCCATACTTGACGACATAGGTGCACGGAGAGAAGCAGTTGCGCTGGAATGGCGTCGAGGCGAGGGCCGATGCGACACTTGCTTGCGGCATGGGAGCGCGGATGGCGTAAGCCTTTGCCTGAGCCGTGGAGTCTTTCTCGGCAGAGAAGAGGGCGGTAGAGACTTTGGCAAAGGTGAGGTCTTCCGCTGAGAGCGTGAGGAGCATCTTCCTCGTGACTTCATACGCCGAAGTGAGACCAACTAGAAGGGCGGCTGCAGGGGCTTGTTCAGGGAAGACTATACCCAGCTCCTTAAGTTCGCCATGGATAGTCTGCACCTTGGCGATGTAGTCAGCCATTCCTGAGCAATCTTCAAGGCGGACCTGGAACATGCTGGGGATGAGGATGGCAACTCTGACCGCAATTTTGTTCATGAACCGATCCTGGAGGTACTTCCAGATGGCGTTGGAGGTAGGGTAGTTGCGTGTAGACAAGTTCGGGAGGGGTGGAGGCAATGAAGACGCTGATGATAGCAGCATCGGTCTTCTCCCATTTCCAGTACTTTTCAACAGCTTCCTCGTATGCCCTCATGTCAGTATCACTAGCGGATTCCGTCGGCTCACTCACGGGGGGTTGGGGGCTGTTTTCCTTTGCCACGATTGAGGAGGACGTCCTTGAGGTCCAATCCTTGCACGTCACGACTCAAGAGGTGCTTGTCAACCCCATAGCTCCATGCCTTGAAGTTGGAGCTAGAGCCATCGGCTTAAAGGCGGAGTGGGGTGATGGGGTTGGCCATGGTGGATGAGGCAAATGCCATGATGAGGAGCTCTTAGTGTCTCGCGCAGAGCACCGATCTTGAGTCACCGATAGGAACTTGAGGTTTGGGGTTTCCGAAGGAGATTTTGAAGAGCCCAAGTTTAGGGTTTACGAAAGAGAATCTTGAATTTTAGGGTTTCTGAAGGAGAATTTGACAGAAACGCCAATTTAGTGTCAACTACCTGCTAATCCTATTCCCACACACCCCTCCACACACCACCCTCAGCTTCGCGGCTACGCTGCTGCTCGGCTTCGCGGCTACGCTGCTGCTCGGCTTCGCGGCTACGCTGCTGCTCGGCTTCGCGGCTACATGGCTGCTAGGCTTCGCGGCTACGCTGCTGCTCAGCTGCGCTGCTGCACCTGTTCAGCTACGGGAAGGGGGGATGGGGGTAGGAGTGCAGATGCGGAGCGACGGGCGGCAGCCCGAAGGTGACGCTGCAGGGCGACGGGTGGCGGCCCGACGAGAAGCTGCGGGGCGACGAGCGGCGGCCCGACGAGAAGAAATGACGCGACGAGGTTCGACGAAAACGAGCGTTAGGTTATAGCGCTCACGATGCGCTTACCAGTGAAGTAGTAGATGTCGTCGAAAGTGACGGGAAAGTGGTGCGGGAGAATTTCCGCCCACGAATGTTGCGAATCACCGGCGACGAGATTGAAGGTGGTTATGCCGAGGTTTGCGGGACGAGCATCCGCAGAGTTAAGAGGATCACGATCCGCGTGTGCGGTTGAAGAGCTCTGATACCATGTCAGAACTTAGGCTTAGAAGCGATGAATTAGTAATGAGCTTGAAGCTCTTTAAGTACATCCAAGAAGGGTAGGGAATGGATGGGAAAGGGAATCGGGGGAAATCCCTAGGGATTGGGGGTAATCCCAAGGCAATCTCCAATTGGTGGGTTGGAGATTGCTTGGAGATTACATTTGGGTTTGGTTGGGATGTAGGTGTACACCCAACCAAACACAAAGTGCAAACTACACTACTCTAGGATATAGAAAATACAAAGTACAAAGTGTGAGATTGAGGGCTAACACTAACAGCAGTGCCCTCCAGGTGGCAGTGCCCTCCAGGTGGCAGTGCCCTCCAAATGGCAGTGCCCTCCAGATGGCAGTGCCCTCCAGGTGGCAGTGCCCTCCAGATGGCAGTGCCCTCCAGATGGCAGTGCCCTCCAGATGGCAGTGCCCTCCAGATGGCAGTGCCCTGCAGATGGCAGTGCCCTCCAGGTGAGCAATGTCCTCCCTTGTGCCCCATGGTTTTGAGCAGTGGTCCTGTAATTGGGTAGCGGGGCTGTAATAGGTAAGCGGCCGTGTAGATGAACAGTCGCTCGATTGCACCCAACCCCCTTCCTCCAGGTGGCAGTGCCCATCTCCCTCCTTCCCACCTCCGTTCCACCCAACCCCCTTCCTCCCTCCCATTTCCCTCGCTGTTATCCTCATTCCTCCCATCACCGTCTCTCCCATCAATCTCAATCCCATCACCCTTTCTCCTCCTACCCGCCCGTGCAGCGCATGACTCTTATTGGTGAGGGCCTTCAGCGGGACCCACCTGCCAATAACAGCGCCAACAACCGCGTCGTGCGCATGGTGAGACAAGCGGGGGCAGCATGATGATGTGGACATGGTATAGTATGGATAGAGTGCGCATGGCAGGTGGTGTAGCATGCTGACGTGGATATGATATAGTATGGCGAGGGGATACAGTAGAGCAGAGCACCTTCTGATGTGCCTCAAAGCACATTGTCAGGAGAAGGGACATGGTGGAGAGACAAGTGCAGTGCAGTGCAGTGCAGTGCAGTGCAGTGCAGGTTGCTGACCCGCCTGCCAATAACAGTACCAGCAACCGCGCCGTGCGCATTGCTGGCAGGGCGTTGTGCATCCGTCAACCTCACCCATCTTTGAGCAGGTGGTACAGCTTTGACATTTCCAGTGGCACACCTGCTCATCTCATCTATGCCCACATCCCTCCACCCTCCCTCCCTCCGTCCCTCCCTCCCTCCCTCCCTTCCACCCTCCCTCCCCCCTCCTCTCAGCTCGCCTCCATCAACGTCACCCAGCAGCACGGTTTCGACCCCTACAGCGTTACACAGCAGCAGGCAGCAGCACTAGAGGCAGCGAGAGTGGTGACAGACCAGGCACTGAGCACCGCCAATCAAATCATTCAGATCAACGAATCGCTCATTCAGTCGTGAGTGTGCCACCTAACTCGATTTTCTCACATCACAGATCTACCATAAATTTGTATTTTTCAAGCATACAATCTCCTCCCCTGCGAGTTGTGCTCCTTGGCGGCGCCTATCCCATCCCTTTCCCGATTTGTGCAATGTCACTCTTCCTTCCTTCCTTCCTTCCTTCCTTCCTTCCTTCCTTCCTTCCTTCCTTCCTTCCTTCCTTCCTTCCTTCCTTCCTTCCTTCCTTCCTTCCTTCCTTCCTTCCTTCCTTCCTTCCTTCCTTCCTTCCTTCCTTCCTTCCTTCCTTCCTTCCTTTCCCGCCGTACATGCTTGCACTTGCACACACCAGGGACGATTTCTGGTCCTCATCACTCAACTGGCTGGGTCACGACTATGATCGCGAGTTCTTCTATCGCGCCACCTTCACCTCTGCTGGGGGCATTGGGGCACTGCCCGCCACTGAAGTCGTCTACTTCCTCACCTTCCTCGCCCAGGTCAGCAAAAGGTCCCTCTCATCCCAGCCCCTCTCTCATCCTCTGGCCCAGTGTGGTGTTGGCCCGCTTATCACCACAACTATGACTGCGAGTTCTGTTATCGCACCACCTTCACCTCTGCTGGGGGTATCGGCGCACTTCTTGCCACCGAGGTCGTCTACTTTCTCACCTTCCTCGCCCAGGTCAGGAACCTTCCTCTTTCTCTTTTTACAATCAGCCCGGAAGATTTTCAGTAGAGCAGGAACGTCGGTCACGACTTTGATTGTGAGTTCCTCCCCACCCCCCTCGCCCAGGTGAGGAAAGCTTCCTTCACCGAATATCTGCTGCTGAGCCTCGGTCTTTTTCCCAGGTCTTCTTTGAGGCTCCCTGGTCTTCCTTGTGGGATGAATACCACTTCAAAGCACCTCAAGGCACCTCAAAGCACCGCAGAGTACCTCAAAGCACCGCAGAGTACCGTGAAGCAGCTCGAAGCACTTCCTTTGCTGATCTCATCTCCCTTCATTCGACAATCCTTTTCTTATTTTTTCTCTTCTTCTCTGCCCCTCTCTCCCTCCATCCTCCCCAACGTCTCCAGGCCGTTCCAACGCTGCAAGGCCTGTTTCCTGGCAACCCAGCAACACCAACTCCCTTGTCAGGATCACCCTTGTCAACCCCTCTCAACACCACCACTCCATCCAACACCACCACACCATTCAACACCACCCAGACTTCTCCCGAACCTCCCAGCCTCCCCTCGCTGCCTCCCTTCCGCCGCTTCCCCCCCTTCGTCCCCCTCGAAGGCCCCCTCTGCTTCCGCCTACGCCTCACCCCTCCTCCGGTCGACTCCTTCTGGTCGGTCACGGTTTACAACAGCACCTCTCTAAACCTCCTGGAGGGAGTCACCAAGTATGGCGTGGGTGATAGAACTCCGGGCCTCCTGGTGAGTCCCCTGCTTCCTTTCACATCACCCCTCCCCCGGCCGACTGCTCCATCATCCTTCACAACAGCACAGCACCTCTTTGAACCTCTTGGAGGGAGTCAGCAAGTATGGTGTAGGAGACTGCACGCCAGGATTGATTGTGAGTGTCTCTTGCTTCCCTAGCCCTCCGCTCGATTCCCTCTGGTCTGGTCTGTCACTCAGCACACTGCATCTTCCTCACTCCTTCCCGGTCGACTCCCTCTGTCCTGGAGTGAGCCAGCAAATACCTCACGCGCACGCAGGGTGTTTTTGAGAATTCTCAAAAACACCCTGCAGCATCCTGGAGTGAGCCAGCAATTACCTCACGCGCACGCCAGGCCTGCTGCATCACCAAGCCACTCCTCCCCTCGATCACTCAAGCCGATTGGATCACCACTGTTAACTCAGCGCCTTCGCATCTGCCCCAACCAACCTCTGTGAAAATCACTTTGAGAATTTTCAAAAGCCATTCTCTCATCTCCCTCCCCCAACAAACCTCTGTGCAACCAAACCTCCGCTGTTGCCCCCCTCACGGCAGTACAACCCAGACAGGACTTTCACCATCTACATTGTCAAGTCGACTTTTAACACACCAGATTCCCTTGCCTTCCCCAAATTGTTCGTGTGCATCCACTCCTGCTGTACTGCTCCCCTCACGGCAGTACAACCCAGATGGCACTCTCACCATCTACATTCAACCCACTTCGCCCGGCCAATCGCTCGGAGTCAACTGGATTCCTACTGTTAACTCGGTACTGTAACCCTGGCACCCCGTGTCTGGTTACATGCGGCTATTCCTCTCTCCCTTGTCTCCATCTACCTATTACTGCAGGGTGTTTTTGAGAATTCTCAAAAACACCCTGCGGCTATTCCTCTCTCCCTTGTCTCCATCTACCTATTGGTTCTCTGCCTTCCCTCCTTTGAGAAGTCTCAGAAGCGACAGAAACACACCCTTCTTCCCTCTATCTCCTTGCTTATCTCCTTATCTGTTCCATGCTTTCTTTTCCCTCTCCACTGTCGTTCTTCCTTTTCCTTTCCTTTTCTCTTTTCCTTTCTCCTCCAGACAAGGAGTGCAGTGGTCCTGAGGGCGTATGGCCCCTCACAGCTCATTCTCAACGGCACGTACCGCCCGCAGCCAGTGCAGCTCTTCCCTCCCTCCCTCCCTTCCCTTTCCCTTTCCCCTTCCCCTTCTTCCCTGTCCTCCCACAGACAAGGAGTGCAGTGGTGCTGCGAGCGTACGGCCCCTCACAGCTCATTCTCAACGGCACGTACCGCCCGCAGCCAGTACAGCTCTTCCCTCCCGGCCCCACGTGCCAAGGGGAGCAGCAGCAGGGCGGTGTCACTCTCACAGCACCACCAGCAGGGCAGCAGGAGGCCAATCGTACTCTCATAAACCCTGTTTCCTAGTGCATTAAGTGGTGATCTGATGATGGTTCTTCTGATGCTTTAGAGACAATACCCCGGCATGAGAATGTTTACTGTTACCAGTGCAGCAGAGGTTCTTATTACTACTGTACCATATGTTGTTGTGCTGGGGTGGGGTGGTGGTGGTGGAGAGCACATATGGCCCCTCACAGCTCATACGGTACTCAACAGCACATACCGCGCGCAGCCAGTACCTCTCCCCTCCCCCATGGAGAGCAACAGGGCAGTCTCACCTTCTCGGCTCCTGAAGGGCAGTTTGACAGTCTCACTCCCACCCACAGCCTCTCATGCGATTCTTAGTGCACGGCCCACAGACGGGGTGTGAACAATCCCTCTAACATAAGCTTTCGGAGTCACTACTCTTTCGTGTTCTTTTGAGTGCATCACCACAATGTGGTACAGTACTTGGCAATGCACTGACGAAGTACAGTGTACATTGTACAGTGGTGTAGCAGCCAGCACTGCAAGCAAGCCCTCTCTGCTCCTTGCGGCTGCCAGAATCTCCTTTCCAGCCTTGTTTAGGCTCCTCCTTGTGGCACATCGAGAAACCATTTACATGTTGGTTTCAAATCAAGCTATGGAATCTCACAGCGACTTTGAGCAGTGGCAGCAGTAGCAGCCCAGGCAGCAGTACTAGCAGCCCAGGCAGCAGTACTAGCAGCCCAGGCAGCAGTACTAGCAGCCGAGGCAGAACTGTGAGGCTGAGCCATCCTATTCTTCCTTGCTGTCATTCGGTGGAGTCGCATCATCATCAGCATCAGCATCAGCGGTCGCAGCAGCAGCAGGAGCCAGGCTCGCTTTGTAAGTGACGTAGATGGTCCAGAAGAAAGCTGCAGTGTTGCTCGTTAGTACCTGCACATGCAAAAACCACCAAGAACGGGGATTGATGCATGGGTGTGCACCGGGGGAAAGAGAAAGGCATGTGGCATGGGATGGAATAAAATGGCATGGTACGGCATGGCATGGCATGGCATGACATGACATGGCATGTGTAATTTCAAAGATACTATGTATTCCTATCTATGCTCGACTCTTCAGACCAGTGGAAATCAACAATCTTGGGGATTTACGGTCCAGCCAGAAGCACAAAAGCATGTCAAAAGATACCTTTTTGCAGCCCAGGGCAGCACTTGCGTTCCCTGCCTCGTCAGGTGTTGGTGCCTCTATATTAGTTAAGAACACGCATCCACCTTACCTTAAACGCTGATTCCAGATGAAACGCGTTTAAGAATCTTCTCCTCTAGTACCACACATGTGCCTCACAAGGTTAGTCCAGATGACTCTGAGACACAAAGCCTAGATATATGCGCTCTGATCAGCGGTATTCTTCCAGTGAAGTCAACTACTCACCTGCTGTCTTACGGGGGCGTATCGGATTTTGATGAAGTCACAGACAGGCCAGTAGCACGCGCTGCTAATGCGGGTTGGTAGCAGGACTCGTTTCAAGCGCGCAATGATCTGCACCCCGTATTCAAGCTTTCAGTTTCAGGTCTAACATGAGTTCCACCCACCTGCAGTCTCACGGGGACGTATCGGAACGTGATGAAGTCACAGACAGGCCAGTAGCAGGCGCCGCTGATGAGGGTGGGTATCAAGTCTCGTCTCAGGCGAGCAATGATTTGCTCCTTGTTTTCCCCTGTAACATAAGGCATGGACGAAAGTGGAATAGCATTGCAGTTATGTATGATGCAGTCACAGACATGAGCGTGGGTAGCAGGTCTCATCGCAAGTGAGCGATGATTTGCTCCATGTTCTCGCTTGCACAACAGGGCATGGGAGAAAGTGGAAAAACATGAACAGATGTATGAGGACGTCACAGATAGGCCAATAGCAGGCACCGCTGATGAGCGTTGGTAGCAGGTCTCGCTGCAAACGAGCAATGATCTGCTCCCTGTTCTTGCCTGCACAGATATTTAAGATGGAGGTGAATAAAAGGTGCAGTGTGCGGGATCCTAAGAAATAATCCCTCATGTTCTCACCTTGCAGAGCAGTGTTAACGGAGAAGAAAACGGAGTTGAAGTGAGGGCCGTACAACAGACATCTGTCCCAGTTTTGAGACGACCTTATGAACAGCCGCTCGTTCCCTCACCTTGAAGGGCAGCGTTGACTGAGGAGAACACAGAGTTAAACACAGGGTCGTACAGCAGCTGCCCCATTTTTTAATACGTCCTTACAAACAACCGCTTGTAACCTTACCTTGCAGAGCAGCGTTGATGGAGAAGAACACGGAGTTGAAGACAGGGCTGTACAGCAGCTGTCCCATGGCTATCTTGAGCAGCACGCGAGGCACGTTCGTGCCTGGGATGACCCTCGCAATTCAGACACAGTTCCTCGAATCCTCACCTTGCAGAGCAGCGTTGATGGAGAAGAACACGGAGTTGAAGATAGGGCTGTACAGAAGCTGTCCCATGGCTATCTTGAGCAGCACGCGAGGCACGTCCATGCCTGGGATGACCCTCGCAATTCAGACACAGTTCCTCGAATCCTCACCTTGCAGAGCAGCGTTGATGGAGAAGAACACGGAGTTGAAGACAGGGCTGTACAGCAGCTGTCCCATGGCTATCTTGAGCAGCACGCGAGGCACGTCCGTGCCTGGGATGAACTTGGCGAGGCGCGTGAACCACAAGTGAAGAGTGGGTCCGGACAGCAAGAGACCTGCGCCTGCCATGCGCGCTGTGCGGAACGCGTCCCACTGCATCTCCTGACGTGGCGGTTGGTCTGGGTTGTCGTCGAGTGGTGACGTGGCGGGTGGGTCAAGAATGGAGTGAGAGAGCTTCTGCAGCCGAAGAAGGAAGGAGGAAGAATGGAGGAAGGAAGCAGGATGATCAAGGAGAAGAGAGGAGAAAGAAGGAGAAAGGGGGCCAAGGGTGTAGAAATGATGAGAATCAAGGGGAGGGTTAGCAGCGATGGTTGAGTAACATGGTTACGTTTGATATATTACGATCCGCCAATTGGCAATCGATTTAATTGTAAGGCTAGGCTGCCCAGTGGTGGTAGTTGGAAGCAAGGAAGATATGAAAGATCTCCAACCTTATCCATAGGAACGGGGGAGGGATAAGGGGAGAAAAGTAGGGCAAGCGAGAAGCGAAGAAAAATCCGACATACGTGCCTGTGATGTGACGTCAGCAGCGCCGAATATGATCGCTGCGGTGATGCTCTTAGTGATCACGGGCCGGGAGTCGAGGCATTTCAGGTACCACTGCACGAACCCGTTCACCCGCGCGTGACTCTCCGATCCATGGATCCGTTCCGCGATCTGCTCTACGCCGATCTGCGGCTGCGACGCGGATTTACTACTCGAGTTGATCCGTCTTACAAACCCGTCCAGGAATGACGAACTCCCGTCTTTTACGGGTAAGTGTGATTGTGGCGATGGCAACGGTAAGCTACACCGTTGACTGCTGGTGGAGGAATGGATCTGTTTCACGCTCGTTAATCGTCGCACTACGGAGCCTGCTTGGAGAGACTGAAGGACCCGTTCTCTACAGCTGCGAAGCGCCATTGATTATATCGTTTAGTTGATAACGGTCGGAAAAGGGAGTTTCCCGTGGCTAACGGTAACTAGGTCGACGTGACGCGATCACGACCACAGCGTGTTGAGATTGGGTCGCGGACTTGTAAAATCTCGCAACAGTAGCAACGCGTTCTAGAATTCACGAGCAAGATCAAAGCGCGTTCTCTCACTAGCCTGCTCTTCACAGCAACAAGTTTTTGCTGGAGCAAAAATAAAAATGAATGCCAGTTAAAAGGAGCACCACTCGAGATATAAGCAGCGAAGGCACAGGAAAGTTATCGAGATTACCTTAGGGGCTGACCGACCGAGCCGCGAGTTTAGGACGAACTGACGCCAGTAATTTTTCGTCCATCGACTCGAGCCCCTTCGTCAGGGAGAAACGGCGGTGATTGTGCCACATCAGCGCTCAGGCTCCACCGTACGGTCCCGAGTTCCCGCTTTCGAGACCGGCGAGGCGGTACCGCACTGAACCCCACTGCAATGCAGAGCGACCGACCGTTTGGTGCTTTGTCCAACCAGTTTGTACCTCGCCAAAGAGATTTCGCTAAATGTTGAGGGGAGTTCATGCCATTCTGGAAGGCTCACTAAATTTTGCAAGACACCCATGAGGAAGTTAGCGTCCTTTTCTTTGAACAGTGTTGGTTGCACGAGACACTACATCCACTGTGTACAAACTCCATTACAGTTGTTCCCAAGTCACATGAATTCGGCCATTCACCTCAAGAGTCTCAGCTTTTGAGAGTGAACCAAAGCTATCCTTCTGCTTCAAAGAACTCATCTTCCTCCTCCTCAGCAACACCCCCCTCACTGCTTCCCACCCCATCAGCACCTTCTCCTGCCCCTCCAGATGAGTTTACCCCATCCTGACGGCCTTCAATCACGCCTTCACCTCCTCCCAGCCCATTCCCCTTCTTCTCCCCCCCAGCAGCAGCAGCTGCCGCTGTAACAAACCCCACATTCTCGATCACATACTTCCCGATTGTCCCTTGCGCAGTAACAGCACCAGCATTTGTTGGCACGGTCACTTGCTGATCCAGGCTGACATAGCAGTCAGAGATGAGATGGACTGCCAGCTGGACGGGGTGGAAGAGAAAAAGGAGGTGAAAGGGTGGGATTGCACGTGTATCATGATTGTATGTGTGTTGCTTTCAAACACTCAGTGCGTACACCTGAAAGTGGTCAGGACACACGCACATGCGTCACTGACGAGTGCAGCTCAAGCACGTGCAGGCGGGTGGTGAGTCGGTGTGTGAAACAGAGCTTGGAGCTTTATTACACCTGAAACTGGCTAGGACGCACGCACATACCTGCTTCACTGACGATTGCAGCTCGGGCACGTGCAGGCGGGTGGTGAGTCGGTGTGTGAAGGAGACACGTTTGAGAGCGAGCAGGGTGGGGGAGTCTGCTGCTGCTACCACCACCCACCACCCCTCCTCCTTCACCTGTAAACCGATAGATACGTCATGACGAATGGTAGAGTAGGCATGTGAGCGAGTGAGTGAGTAAGCACGTGACGGCAGAGAGAGCGAGTCGGTGTGCAAGTGATGGTGGAGAAAGCGGGTGAGTAGGCAAGTGATGGTAGCACAATCTGAGCTATTATTTTGAGCACATATTTTGGGCAATTTAAAAAAATTGCAAAAGAAGGACCAGCGTGCATCCAAGGAATATGCATCATATCTGCTTGAACACACCTTGGGGAAGAAGGGCGTGTAGGCACGCAGAGAGTGTGGCTGGTGCGGCCGCGCGCGGCGAAGCGATACCTCCACCACCACTGCTGCTGTTGCTGCAGCTGCGGACTTTGCAGGTGTCTTCTCCCCATCCGCTGTGCCCGTGGAGAGCACTCGCACTGACATGGACACTCTAGGCAGCATCCCCAGAGCCTGGGAGATACAAGGGCAAGGGGGTGAGAGGAGAGGGGGGGACAAGAGAGAGAAGGAGAAAGAGTGCAGGTTGGGGAGGGAAGGAAGAGACAAAAGAAGGGAAGGTAGGGGCAGGGGGAGTAGAAGAGGGGAGAGCAAATGAAGTGAGAAATTGTTGAGGTGTAAGACAATGCGAATACCAAGAAACCAATGGCATAAAAGAAATAAATGCAGAGAACAAGCTAGAGGGAGAGAAAACAGCACTTCAAGTAAGTCGGTACAAACAATGCATTCAATGACTAGAAGCATTCTGAGTTAGCAGCTGCAGATGGAAAAGCAGATGCAAGTGAGAGATGCTTTTTTAGTCGACCCAAGAAGTTGTAAGTGTGAGATGCTTGCTAATGTACGTGCCGCTAAAGGTCCAGCCAACCATTGTTAGCATGTACAACTAGTAACCAACCAGGGGAGAAGGGACAAGAGGAGCATGGAGGGCAGCTAGGGGATAGAGCTCCGTTTGATGCGTTTCCTATCATACAAGAACTCAGTTTCTGGTGTTAATTAGTTTCCCATCATATAAGAACTCAATGTCTGGTGTTAATTAGTTTCCCATCATATAAGAACTCAATGTCTGGTGTTAAAGTGTTGCCTATCATATAAGAACTCAATGTCTGGTGTTAATTAGTTTCCCATCATATAAGAACTCAATGTCTGGTGTTAAAGTGTTGCCTATCATATAAGTACTCAATGTCTGGTGTTAATTAGTTTCCCATCATACAAGAACTCAATGTCTGGTGTTAATTAGTTTCCCATCATATAAGAACTCAATGTCTGGTGTTAATTAGTTTCCCATCATATAAGAACTCAATGTCTGGTGTAATTACGTATAAAATTCAAGCATACCTGAAGGAGGTCGGCACGAGCGGCAGGCGAGAGGTGGGAGGAGAGGAGCTGGCGGAGGTGATGTGGCGAGGCGGACAGCAGGGCGGATAGCGATGCCAGCCTGGCAGCTGTCAGGGCGTCCTCCAATGAGGACGTGACATGTGGCAGCATGGCTATGGGCGAGCCAAGGTCGCACCAGACAGCCTGTGGGAGGGAGGAAAGGGAAGTACAGGGAGGTAAGAGGAGGTGCCTGCCTTTGGGTGGATTTTGAGGCGCCTCAAAAACGGCCTTTGGGTGGACCATCTGGGTGAGGTGCATGGTGAGGTGAGCACAGAGAGCAGGTGATGAGGCGATTTTTGAGTCGACTCAAAAATGTTTTGAGACGTCTCAAAACACTCCTTTTTTCACGTTGCGTGAGGTGCATGGTGAGGTGAGCACAGAGAGCAGGTGATGAGGCGATTTTTGAGTCGACTCAAAAATCGCCTCATCTGGTTGATGCGCATGGTGAGCTGAGCACAGACAGCAGGATCATCAATGCGCTTCACGGAAACCACCTCTGGACCATCATTCGCACGATCGTTTGATTCATAATCACCTGCACCGCATCCCACCCACCTGGATGACCATCTGTGTGAGGCGCATGGTGAGCAGAGCAGGCTGTAGCTGGCCGGCTGTAGCAGCGGTGTCAATCATGGCCTGCAGCACTCGCATGGTCTGATCCAGCACACTCTTGAGATCCGTCTCGTAGTCACTCATTGGCATGGCCAGGCGGGAGAAGTGCGCCTGGGAGGGGGGGGGAGGAGAGATGGAGGAGTGGACAGCAGAGGGAGGAGAAAATATGGAGAAAGGGGACGGAAATGGCAGGGGAGAGGAGCAAGAGACGGTGGGAGGGGAACGTAGGATGTAGCTGAGCGGGTGGCTGCAGCAGCCGTGTCGATCATGGCCTGTGGCACGCGCATCGTTTGATCCAGCACACTCTTAAGGTCCGTCTCGAAGTCTCTCATTGGCATTGACAGCCGGCTGATATCACCTGAAGGCTGATATCACCTGAAGGCTGATCTCACCTGAAGGCTGATCTCACCTGAAGGCTGATCTCACCTGAAGGCTGATCTCACCTGAAGGCTGATCTCACCTGAAGGCTGATCTCACCTGAAGGCTGATCTCACCTGAAGGCTGATCTCACCTGAAGGCTGATCTCACCTGAAGGCTGATCTCACCTGAAGGCTGATCTCACCTGAAGGCTGATCTCACCTGGAGCAACAGGTTGGTCTTGGTGTGCGGGTCGTCGTAGGTGCGATGGTCATTGAGAATTTTGGAGAATACATTGCGCAGGCTAACTAGATTCACCTGAGGACTGACCTCACCTGAGGGCTGATCTCACCTGAGGGCTGACCTCACCTGAGGGCTGATCTCACCTGAGGGCTGATCTCACCTGAGGGCCGACCTCACCTGAGGGCTAACTAAATTCACCTGGAGCAGCAAGTTGGTCTTGGTGTGCGGGTCGTCGTAGGTGCGATGGTCCACCTTCCAGCGCACATGCTTTGCCAGCTCTGCGTTCACAAACTCCTGTATCAGCCAAGAGCAGAGAGAAATGGGCAGAGCAAGGAGCAGAGAAATGGTTAGAGAAATGGGAAGTGAAACAAGGAAAAAAAGAGTCGTGTGTTGTCCACACAGCAAGTCCCCCTGGGCACCACGCCTGGTTGCACGTCACTGCACTGAACCGCACATCACCCCTCTCAAATCATGAAGCTTTACTCTCCTCATTGTGCCTGACTGGCAGCTCGTCGAACTCTGCCGCCCCACACAGCATGTGCAGCACCGTCTCTAGAGTCACCGCCGTGGCACCATGACTATGATCAAGGAACCTCCAGAACCGCACTGAACCGCACCGCACCGCACTGCACCCTTATCATGCCGTACTCACCTCATTGTGCCTGACTGGCAGCTCGTCGAACTCTGCCGCCCCACACAGCACATGCAGCACCGTCTCTAGTGTCACTGCCGCCACAGCGGGCGGCGAAGTGAGATTGGCGGTGAACAGTGCGGCGGTGGTGAAGTGCAGGTAGTACTGCGACGCAATCAGGCCGGGCGGCAGCGGATCCACACTGCCGTCCTCATGCAGCGCAATGCAGCCAGCAGCATCCAGGTCAGAGAGAGTGCGGCTGACGAGACTGGAGAGGGGCGAATGGGTTTTCAGAAGGGAAGAAATGATGTGAGATTTTAGACGCAAGAGTGTGACTTTGGTGAGGAGCGGCAGAGGATCCACACTGCCGTTCTCATGCAGGGCGATGCAGCCGCCAGCATCGAGGTCGGAGAGAGTGCGGCTGACGAGACTGCCAGTAGGGAAGGCGGGATGAGAGTGTAAAGAGCGAGTGGGGAATGAATAAGGGAGGAGGATCCACACTGCCGTACTCATGCAGGGCGATGCAGCCGGCTGCATCCAGGTCAGAGAGAGTGCGGCTGACGAGACTGGAGGGGCATGGACGAGTGGGAGATGAGTAGGGAAAAAGTGGAGGATACGTGGGGAGTGGCCAAGCAAGGTAAGGGTGTGGCGGTGAATCCTCTCATGAAGCAGCAGCGGATCCACACTGCTGTCCTCATGCAGGGCGAATCGCCACGTGTATGAAGAAGTGTTTTGAGACGTCTCAAAACACTTCATACGATACACGCGGTGAATCCTCTCATGAAGCAGCAGAGGATCCACACTGAGGTGACTTTTGAGTCGACTCAAAAGACACTTCTTCATACGATGCACGCGGTGAATCCTCTCATGAAGCAGCAGCGGATCCACACTGCTGTCCTCATGCAGGGCGAATCAGCCTGCTGCATCCAGGTCGGAGAGAGTGCGGCTGACGAGACTGCAGGCAGGGAGAAGGCAAACCAATGGGAGAGGCACGTTGCGCGTAGAAGGTCCAGTTTCCTACTCTGAAAGAAAAACGTTGACAGACTCTGCACTGGTGTCAGAGAGGCAGTAGGAGGGGAGGGGCTGCAGAGTTTTGAGGCGTTTCAAAAACCGCGTGAACTTAGACGAGTTTTGAGGCGCCTCAAAAATCGCGTGAACTTAGACGAGTTTTGAGGCGCCTCAAAAACCGCGTGAACTTAGATGAGTTTTGAGGCGCCTCAAAAACCGCGTGAACTTAGACGAGTTTTGAGGCGCCTCAAAAACCGCGTGAACTTAGACGAGTTTTGAGGCGCCTCAAAAATCGCGTGAACTTAGACGAATTTTGAGGCGCCTCAAAAACCGCGTGAACTTAGACGAGTTTTGAGGCGCCTCAAAAACCGCGTGAACTTAGACGAGTTTTGAGGCGCCTCAAAAACCGCGTGAACTTAGACAAATTTTGAGGCGCCTCAAAAGTCGTTGACAGACTCTGCACTGGTGTCAGAGAGGCAGTAGAAGGAGGGGAGGGGTTGCAGAGGAGGCTGCGGAAGAAGGTTAAGGTGAGATAGTCCACGCGTGCTGCACGCTGGCTGGCGATGCAGAGGAGTGACTTGGCGAAGCAAGGCGTTGCCTCTCAACCCCAGAAGCCTACTCTGAAAGGAGTACATTGACTTTTGAGACGTCTCAAAAGGAGTACATTGACCGATCCTGCACTGGTGTCGCAGGGTGTTTTTGAGAATTCTCAAAAACACTTGGAGAAGCAAGGCGTTGCCTCGAAGCCAGAAGCTTACTCTGAAAGGAGTACATTGACCGATCCTGCACTGTTGTCAGAAAGGCCATAGTAGGATAGGTAGGTTGCAGAAGAGGTGGCGAAATAGCAGGTCTGGGTGAGATGATCAACCAAAATAAAAACACAGGAGAAGCTTACTCTGAGAGGAAAACGTTGACAGGCTCAGCGCTAGTGTCGGAAAGGCCATAGAAGAGAAGAAGGTCCAGGCTTTCACTAAACCCAAAAGTACAACACAGGAGAAGCTTACTCTGAGAGGAAAACGTTGACAGACTCAGCGCTGGTGTCGGAAAGACCGTAGAAGGAGGGGTTGCAGAGGAGGCGGCGGAAGAAGAAGGTCCAGGTGAGGTAGTCCATGGCATCCTGCACGCTGGCTATGCTGCCCCCCGCCACCTCCGCGTTCAGATGGTCGTGCAGCACCAGGTGCAGCGAGGACTCCACTGGGAACGGCTCGTACAGGAACTGCGGTGTTGGGGGGGTTGTGGGGGGGTAGAGAGGAGAGGGGAGGAGGGGGGACGGAGGGACAGAGGGACGGAGGAAGGGAGTTGAGGAAGAATAATTTGAGGGGTTGAAGAGCGAGCAAGAGAGGAAGAAGGTCCAGGTGAGGTAGGCTATGCTGCCCCCCGCCACCTCCGCGTTGAGATGGTCCTGCAGCACCAGGTGCAGCGATGACTCCACTGGGAACGGCTCGTACAGGAACTGCGGTGGAGGGGAGATGTGGGGAGGAGAAAACCAGAATGAGGGGCATGGGCGGCTTCATGAAGCATGCAGCACGAGGTGCAAAAAGACACCACTCCTCTCCTCTCCCCCCTCTTGTCTCTCACCAACTTATGAAAGCTCTTCTTGGGCTCGCTCGTGCACGAGGATCACCGCCTTGGCTTTGTTATCAAACGGCTACCTGCTCTCGTATGATCGTACTATTTCTCTCCTACTTCCTCTCGCAACCCTCCTTCCCATTATGTCGCACCTTCTTATAGAAGCTCTTCTTGGGCTCGTGCACGAGAATCACCGCCTTAGCTTCGTTGTCGAACTGCGGCCGCCCCGCGCGCCCCATCATCTGCAGCACGTCTGTGATTGGCATCTCCACATACCGCTTCTGCTTCCCATCGAAATACTCCGTTCCCTTCACCACCACTAGATGGGCTGGTAAATTCACACCCCAAGCTAGTGTGGATGTACACACGAGCACCTGGAGGAGAACGAATGAAAAAGAAGAATGGGAAGAAAAGCAGCAGCGGATGCAAGAGGGAGGGGAATGCAGATGGGCAGCGGAGGGCAGGAGAGGTGAGGGATTGGGGATTACCATACAGTCATATAGGAGACAGGAGACAGTCACATAGGGCTTACTTGAATCTTCCTCTCAGCAAAGAGCGTCTCCACCAGCGATCGGTCCCCCTGAGTGAGCCCAGCGTGGTGCAGCCTGATGCCAAACTGTAGCGTGTGCTTCAGCTGCATCTCACTTTCATCCCACTGCCACATGGTTACCATGCGGTTACCATACAACTACGATGCAATGATCACGCAATCACCCTGAATCTTCCTCTCAGCAAAGAGTGTCTCCGCGAGCGACCGGTCCCCCTGAGTAAGCCCAGCGTGGTGCAGCCCGACGCCAAACTGCAGCGTGTGCTTCAGCGCCCCACCTCATTCTAATGCCAGTGAAACACACATGGTTACCACATGGTTACCACACACTTTACCTGGATCTTCCTCTCGGCAAAGAGGGTCTCCACCAGCGATCGGTCCCCCTGGGTGAGCCCAGCGTGGTGCAGCCCTATGCCAAACTGCAACGTGTGCTTCAGCTCTGCTGACGATGCCATGGATACATGCGCCTCCATCTCCTCCTCACTCGCGTGCACAAACTGCCGCGGCCGCTCGTCTGCTGCTGCGTACTGATCGGCGGGGAAAAGGGAGACATGAAGAAAGACAAAATGAGATCAACCGTTTTCAAACGAGTCTGCCTTCGCAACGACACGAACGAACAGGAACGGTTGATGAGCGTGCACGAGCACGGGCTTGACGGGCGAGGGGGTGAGAATGGAGGCGTAGAGTGGCTTGTTCATGGAGTTCATGCGCGGGCAGTAGAACTTGCCCGGGTAGCCCTGAATCCCAGTTCATGCCCCGTGCAGTAGCCCCTCTCTTGGTGCCATCTCAAGCCCAATTCCGCGTTATCTCTGACCAAACTATGAAGTTTGATTCTCACTTGATGAGATCGAGCGCTGTGAGCCAGGTCTGCCGTTGCGACGACACGAAAACGAGCACGGGCTTCACAGGCGAGTGGGTGAGGATGGCGGCGTAGAGCGGCTTGTTCATGGCGTTCATGTGCTCATTTGAAACCAGACCACACGTGACCTGTGTAGCCTTTCTTACAATGTCGAATCATTCCTCACCTGAATGAGATCAAGTGCAGTGAGGCGGGTCTGTCTGGCGCCTTGAGGAGACGAACACGAGCACGGGCTTCACAGGCGAGTGGGTGAGGATGGCGGCGTAGAGCGGCTTGTTCATGGCGTTCATGAGCGGGCAGTAGAGCAGCTTTAGTAGAGCTTGCCCAGATAGCCCCCGAAGCAATCTTGAAGAATCACTCACTTGAATGAGATCGAGCGCTGTCAGCCGGGTCTGGCGCCGGGACGAGACGAAAACGAGCACAGGCTTCACAGGCGAGTGCGAGAGGATGGCGGCATAGAGCGGCTTGTTCATGGCGTTCATGCGCGGGCAGTAGAACTTGCCCGGGTAGCCTTGGATGTGCACGTCCAGCGGCACGGGGCGCACGCTGGGCTTGAAGTTGAAGAGACCGACTCTCTCAATCCCCAGCCAGTCAGCCAGGTCCCTGAAAAAGAGAAAAGGAGTGGAGCGGAATGAAAGAGGGAGGCGAAGAGAGGATGAAAAAGGAGTGAAGACGACAGTAGAACTTTCCCAGGCTTTTGAGAATTCTCAAAAGCCTAATAGGAGATAGGCGTGATAGGAGAGTGGGCGGCGTCACAAACACCACCTTCTCTCTCCTCATTGGAATAAGCTCATGGATCTAGTCTGCTGCCCCAAACGAGAGGTATGTAGCATGCATCTCACCTGCCCCCAGCAGGTGAATCTACTCATGGGCTACCCCAGCCCAGGACCTCATGGTCCTTACCTGGCATTGGCGAGAGCAGTGGAGAGGCCGAGGAAGCGGATGGGGCGGGCGGTGCGGGCAGAGATGTATCTCATCCTCGATACAATCACCTCCAGTACTGGCCCTCTGTCCTGCCCCAGCAGGTGAATCTCGTCCATCACCATCAACCCCACCTGCATGGGATGGAAGGCAGAGGGCGTTGCATAAAGTAAGGGGAAGAGGTGTAAGAAGGGTGTACGGTTGAACAGTTGGACACTGACATGCTACATCCGCGTGTAGCGAGGCGATTTTTGAGGTGCCTAAAAAAACGCCCCACTGAACAGTCTGACACTGACATGCTACATCCTCGATCGAGGCGATACCAGCATTGCGACCACTGACTCTGTAGGCGAATCTCGTCCTATTGCCATCAGCCCCACTGGCAAGACATTGCATTTCAGACGCAAACAGGGGTGGGTTTAACTCACCACACATGCACAGCACATACATGCACATACATGCACAGCACATACATGCACACACATGCACACACACGCACACACATGCACATACATGCACACACATGCACATACATGCACATACATGCACATACATGCACATACGTGCACATACATGCACACACATGCACAGCACATACATGCACATACATGCACAGCACATACATGCACACACATGCACAGCACATGCATGCACATACATGCACATACATGCACATACATGCACAGCACATACATGCACAGCACATACATGCACATACATGCACATACATGCACATACATGCACACACATGCACAGCACATACATGCACATACATGCACATACATGCACATACATGCACATACATGCACATACATGCACATACATGCACACACATGCACAGCACATACATGCACATACATGCGCACACGTGCGCACCACACCCAATTCCCCTAACCCAACCCCCCCTTACGCCCCAGTTTCTCTCACCGTCTGCGCATATGATCGGTTGTGCCAGCTGCGAGTGATGCCGTCCCACTTCTCTGGAGTTGCCACGATCACATCAGCCGCCACCAGCAGCTTCATGTCTGGTGTGAGATCCCCTGTTAGTTCCACCTGGAGATGAAGGAAAGAGGGGAGAACACGAAAGAGAGGAGCACACAGAGGGTGTGGCATTGATGTCGGCCGCCACCAGCAGCTTCATGTCTGGCGTGAGATCGCCAGTCAGCTCCACCTGAAGATAAAGGGAAGACAGGGAGAAGGAGAGGATGAAGAGAAAAGATAAGAGAGGAATGCAATGGAGTGGGTGGTGGGGTGGGTGGGTGAGGTAATTCTGCCAGCCGCCATCAACAGCTTCATGTCCGGAGTGAGATGGCTTGTTTAGCCCCACCTGGAGAGGAAGGGCAGACAGGAAGAGGGAATGACACTTGTTATCTGAGTGGGTGAGGCGATCACATCAGCCGCCACCAGCAGCCTCATACCCGGAGTAAGATCTCCAGTCAGCTCCACCTGCAGTGCAATGTGGTCGGAATAGGGCGAGGAACACAGGGGGTATCGAGAGGGCAATGGTTCAATCAATGAAGGCCAACAGCAACAGCTTCATGTTGACCTTGCATCGCCGCAACATCTGCTGTTTCCATTCCATCCAACTACTCAAAGGAGGCTAAGGAAGTGGTGCGTTAAGATTTAGAGTGGACAAGCAAATACGACATAACCTTTAAAAAAACCAGTTACGGCTTGGGCTTTCCTACTCACCATGCACTTGCCGAGCTTTGGCATGAAGTTCTTGCCCCAGTCCTCCATCCTCTCTCGCACCAGAGCTTTAAGTGGCGCTATGTAAATCACCTGCCAGCACGTGCAGAAAGGGTGGGCAAAAGACGGGCCAGAAGGTCAACGGTCCAGGGTCAGGGTTAAGGGTTTAGGGTTTAGGGTTTAGGGTTTAATCCCCTTTTTCTATAAGGTTTGCAATCTGACTAGCACTGCAAGCTTAGCCGAGACTGTATTGTCTTTGCCTCTCACCCCGAGTCCCTCACCTTCATGCCTCTCACCCCGAGTCCCTCACCTTCATGCCTCTCACCCCGAGTCCCTCACCTTCATGCCTCTCACCCCGAGTCCCTCACCTCCATGCCTCTCACCCCGAGTCCCTCACCTCCATGCCTCTCACCCCGAGTCCCTCACCTTCATGCCTCTCACCCCGAGTCCCTCACCTCCATGCCTCTCACCCCGAGTCCCTCACCTTCATGCCTCTCACCCCGAGTCCCTCACCTTCATGCCTCTCACCCCGAGTCCCTCACCTTCATGCCTCTCACCCCGAGTCCCTCACCTTCATGCCTCTCACCCCGAGTCCCTCACCTTCATGCCTCTCACCCCGAGTCCCTCACCTTCATGCCTCTCACCCCGAGTCCCTCACCTTCATGCCTCTCACCCCGAGTCCCTCACCTTCATGCCTCTCACCCCGAGTCCCTCACCTTCATGCCTCTCACCCCGAGTCCCTCACCTTCATGCCTCTCACCCCGAGTCCCTCACCTTCATGCCTCTCACCCCGAGTCCCTCACCTTCATGCCTCTCACCCCGAGTCCCTCACCTTCATGCCTCTCACCCCGAGTCCCTCACCTTCATGCCTCTCACCCCGAGTCCCTCACCTTCATGCCTCTCACCCCGAGTCCCTCACCTTCATGCCTCTCACCCCGAGTCCCTCACCTTCATGCCTCTCACCCCGAGTCCCTCACCTTCATGCCTCTCACCCCGAGTCCCTCACCTCCATGCCTCTCACCCCGAGTCCCTCACCTTCATGCCGGGCTGTGTGAGGAACATCCTGAGCATGGCAATTTCGGCCGAGATGAGATAGTCGTGCTACTGCTGGTGAGTGTACCCAACAGCTCACTCACCCATGCATACCTATCTCTCTAAAATCCCTAGTTCCCCTACCGTCATGCCTGCCTGTGTGCAGAACAGCCTGAGCACCGCAAGCTCGGCCAAAATGGCCTTGCCAGTGCCGGTGGGAGCTCGCACCCAGCAGCACATTCACATTCACCTGTATCTCTCTGCCGGTGAGAGATGCAGCACATTCACCTGTATCTCAATGTACCCTTCCCTCTCCTACCTTCATGCCTGGCTGCGTGCGGAAAAGCCTGAGCATGGCAAGCTCAGCCGAGATGGTCTTGCCACTGCCGGTGGGGGCACCGAGCAGCACGCTGTGGTCGGAGTGGTACAGCATGTGGAAGGCCTGAGTCTGAATGGGGTTGAAGTGTGAAAAGCCGTACAACCCGATGGCCTGGGGATCCCCGAGGGCTGTCACTGGGAGCGGGCGCAGATTCAGGAGCTCTGTGTGGGGCGGGTGGCGCTGGGGAGAAACAAAGGGGAGGGATGTGTGGGGACGGCGGAAGGGGGAAAAGCGAGAGAAACAAAGGGGAGGGAAGGAGATGAGAAGATTGAAGCAGCAAAGGCAGTGGTAGGCAGTGGGAGCACCGAGCAGCACGCTGTGATCGGAGTGGTACAGCGTGTGGAAGGCCTGAGTCTGAATGGGGTTGAATTGCGAAAAGCCGTACAGCCCGATGGCCTGGGGGTCCTCGAAGGCTGTGATTGGAAGCAGGCATAATTTCAGGAGTTCTGTGTGGGCCGGGTGGCGCTGGGTAAGGGGAAGGCAGAAGGGGGAAAGCAGCAAGAGGAACAGAGGGTTGCGAATGAATAGATCAATGCAGAGGTGACTTTTGAGTCGACTCAAAAGTCACAGGGGGTTGCGAATGAATAGATCAACGCAGAAGTAGCAGAGTTGAAACTTGAAAGGCTGCATTCCAGACAGGATGAGGGTTGCGCTGGGCAGCATGAGATTCACCCCAGGGCAGGAAGAGAGTTATTAGGGGCAGTTACCCCGGGGCAGGATGAGAGTTATTCGGGGAAATTAACCCAGGGCAGGATGAAAGTTACCTCGGGCAGGATGAGGTGGCGGAAGGAGATGGTGTGGGTGGAGGAGGAGGAGAGCCAGTTGTCTGAGATGGCTTTCACGTAGTACTGAGGGGGTAGCGGCTCAAAGATGGGGATGGTGAAGGTGAGCGTGTGCGTGCCCTGTGCCATCATCTTCTTGGACAGAATGAAGTACTCCGTGTGGTAGATGTGCTCGTTCTCACTATCCTGCCAAGGTCAAGCGCGGTGGAAAGGGGTGGAGAGGAGTGGAGTAGGGTAGGGAGGGGTGGAGAGGGGTGGAGAGGGGCTTAGAGAGTGGAGAACGGGATGGTGAAGGTGAGCGTGTGTGTGCCCTGTGCCATCATCCTCTTGGACAGAATGAAGTACTCCGTGTGGTAGATGTGCTCGCGTGATTAACACTTAGCTGGCAACTAAGTGTGAATTACACAGCAGCCAAGGTGAGGTGTACTATAGTTTACTGCTTTTTGCATTTTACTTTGTTTGCTCTTTTGGAATGTTACTGTACTATACAGAGTCGAGCTGCTGAGGATTTCGAGGTGGTTAGGGGGGAGGTTGGTGGCGAATTCGATTCCAGCCAGCCTGGGAATTCAATTCGCCATTCACCAGGCTGGAAGGCGGTGCATGCCTAGTGGGCCGAGTGGGACCCAGCTAGCACCTTGAAGCCTACGCGATCAGCTCGGCTGACTCGCGCTTAGGAGTAGAGGTAGCTTGCGGGACAAGGCACCTAGGCAGGAGGGGATGTAGACTGGGGTAGCGCTCAGACTCGTTGCTTTTTGCTTGTATGTTTCTCGTTTACTGCAATTGTGATTTCCTAAACCACGGGGAACTAGCAGTAGAGAGGAGCTGAAGCAAATCGGCGGAGCCCTTGCGAGGGAGTTAAGTCTTGTTTCATACAAGCAAAAAGGGTAGTCAGGATTACGATTGTTGAGAGAAGAGGTGGCAGGATCTACTGCCTGGAGTTGCCCACGGTGATGCACCGTGAGGAATGAGTAATTTCGACCGTGAGCTTCACACTCATCAACTGCGCTCTGGACACCGATTCCCGGCGAGGATGATGGAGGGACGTGATCCGCCGGTCAGGATGCCTGGATTTCGGGCGGGCGAAGGAGGGACGATCTCGCGCGGTAACCAAGGCGGGGATCGGGAGGAAGAACGAGGTGTACACGGAGAACAACAGTCGAGCTCTGCATGCGACTTGCCCGCGGAGAGGAGTGGAGGGCGACCTGTGGGGAGTGGATCTCGCCGAGGAAATCCAGATCTGGGAGGAGACGATCAACATGAAGATCGACGAAGTCAGAAGGGAGGGGAAGATCATCGAGAAGAACGGCGGAGTCAGAGAGGAGAAGAAGATCAACGTGAAGAAAGGCGTAGTCTGAGGGGAGGAGACGATCAATCGGTGGAACGACGAAGTCAGCGAGGCAAGGAAGCATATCACGGATTCTCTGCTGGAGGATACGAAGCCATGGAGGCCGGGAGAGCAGGGCGACCTGCAGGGAGTGGAGAAGGAGGGAACACAAGCTGGGGGACAGGCAGGTCGATGAGTACTACACCCCCCAAAATTGAGGTACCAGACCGCTTCTCGGGGGCACCCGGAGAGGAGCCCACGCTGAAAACTACCTGATGATGATTGAAGACATTCGCTACTGCTGGGATAGGGAGCGACTGGATCCTATTGAATTTTTCAGAGGCTTGGGGAGGACTCTCAAAGGAGAGGCGTTGACTCATTACCGCGTGGAGAGGCAGGGGCTGCTGATGCGGAGCAACAGAGGAGATATCTTACCGGCAGATATTACGGACCGTTTCTTGGAAAGCCTGCAGGAGCAGTTCCCGGGGCATTCGGCTGACCGGATGGCGGAGTTTCAAGACTTCAGAAGAGCGCCGGCAGAGTCGATGTTGGCCTACTATAACCGTTTACTGGAGCTGGCAGAGGATATGGGCTGCGTGGAGGAGCGCATCCTAGTGACCAAGTTCGTCAACGGACTGGATGGGGACTTGATACGAGACATGAGAAGCCGACTATACTCCTTGGGGGTACGGGCGAAGCTGCGACAGGTGTACCAGGTGGCGAAAGAAGTGGAGGATGGAAAGAGGTTTTTCGAAGGAATGAGGGGGTCAAGCTCCAGTCGGCCGAGCGAACGTCGGAGGCCTGCTTGGGCAGCGGTGGAAGGGAGACAGGGGGAAGAGGAACGAAGAGAGAGGCCGTCTGAAGATAGACGCAGGTGTTACAAGTGCGGCGAAAAGGGGCACGTGCGGAAGGACTGCGCCATAGACATAGTGTGCGACACATGCAAGATGAAAGGACATTTCAGACGTGACTGCCCCAAGGCACCTATCTGCACCGGGTGTGGGAAAAGGGGGCATACTGAAGACAGGTGCTACAGCAAGGGAGAGAGAATGCGAGGAAAATCGGCAAGGGAGTTACAGTTAGAGAGAGAGGTGGCGAAGCTGAAGGGACAGTTGGAGAAGACTGAGATTAGTGAGGACCCTGAGAAGGCATTGCTGGCTTGGGAGGACGATGAAGAGGAGGAGTATGAGAGAGAGGAGGCAGAGTACGGGGCCATGGCCATACCACCTAGAGACCGAGAGGAGTTGGGGCTGCGCAGCGGCGGGAAGGATGGCAGGACAGAGCAGAAGCAGCCTGAAAGGAGAACCCCTCGGCAACAAGAAGAAAGCCATAAGCCGAGGACGGCTCGATGGCATCCTGAGGAGAGACTCGTCTGCCAACCCACGGCCCTGGTGGTAGAACCTAAGGCAGTGGCTGTCAGGGGCATATTAGTGGAGAACGCCGTGGTGGATACAGGCGCACAGAGTGTCCTGCTGGGAAGGAAGCTGACAGAACAGTTACGGGAGAAAGGGGACTTGGAAATAGTAAACAGAGGCATACTGATCATGACAGCCGAGGGAGGGGCACCAAAGTGGATGCCCTGTACTAAGGACCCCATCGAGATTACTCTGCAGCCGGGAGAGAAGGGAGAAACGACGATAAGAGTGCAATGTGGGCTGACGGAATCGGAGGATTATGATGTTCTGCTGGGGATGGAGCTGCTATTCAAGATAGGTACAACAATTTGTACCTGGCAGGAACAGGTGCTCTACCGCTCGGATTTCTGGATTGAGGGAAAGGAGTTGAGTGAGCTGCCAGTGCGGTTTGTCAAGACAGAACCGAAGAAGGCTTGGAGGGCGGAGGGCATGAGAAGAGAGAGCGTAAGGAGGGGGAGTACCAAAGAGGGCAAGGTCGGAGCTAACCTGAACCAGTATAGCGTTACCTTAGTGGAGCTGTTTGGAGGGCTGGGGGCAGGCTTAGCGGCGGCACTGGAAGCAGGGCTGAAGGTGAAAAGATGGGTGTATGTGGAAATAGACCCGGAGGTGAGGAGGATGGCTTGGAAGCATGCACAGATACTGCAGCAGCGGTACCCAGCTCAACTGGCGAAGGAAGTGATACGGGAGGCCATGCAGAATGAGAAGTGGGATGTGGGACAGCTTACCAAGGAAGACGTGAACCGCTGGGGAAAGGTGGACCTGTTGGTAGCAGGGTGGGAGTGCCAGGGTACTTCCCGAGCGGGGAAGGGAAGAGGAATGCAGGATGACCGCACGGCGATGGTGACAACACTGCTGACGATTATGAGGTGGGCGAGAGAATCTGGCGGGGAATATGCGTACATCCTAGAACATGTGGATATGAGGAGTGATAGCAGGGAGCCGGTCCGAGCCGTACGCGAACTGGTGGAAGCAGAATTGGGAAGGGGAGTGAGTTGTGACGGGGCACAGCTGGGGGCAAGGTGTCATAGAGTGCGGCAGTACTGGCAGAACGTCCTGCCAGAAGGAGAACTGAGGGCGAGATTAGCAAGGGTGGAGAGAGATGAGAGCCGAATCGTGGAAGACATTCTGGAACCAGGGAGAGTGGCCGCCCCAGTGGTAAAGCCAGATCATCCGCGACAGTATCAGTGTAACCGAGTGGGGGAAGCGAGGAGGGCCTGGCCGACACTGGTGGCCTATGCAAAGGCACGGGGATTTGTCGAAGTGGAAGGGACTCCAGGTCCAGGGATGGTGTATGATCACCGTAAGAAAAGATGGGAGGAGCCGACTGCTTTGGAGAGGGAATTAGCCATGGGGTACCTGCCGGGGGCAACTGCAGCAGATGGAGTAGGGGAGGAGGTGCGCAAAGCTGCCTTGGGCCGAGCCATAGACCAGCACTCACTGCGATGGCTAATTAGTGAGATGAGAAAGGGGCCAGCCGAGAAAAAGGGAAAGACGGAAGAGGAGAAGTGCAGGGGCAGCAAGCAGGCTGCTTACGCCGCTGTCAGCAAGCTCACAGACGAGAAGGAGATCAAAACTGCACCACCAGTAGGGACGGAAGCAGAGCCGGGCAAAACCTGGGAGCTGGGGGCAGGTATAGGGGAGCAAGCAGCCGAAGCAATCAGGGAGGTGTTGCAGCAGCATAGGGGCACCTTCGCCTATAACCTGCAGGAATTGGGGAGATACAAGGGGAGAGAGCTGGAGCTGAACCTCACGACTGAGCTACCTACATACCAACGCAGGAGGCGAATGAATGCGGAGGATGCAGCCATCTGCAAGGAGAAATGTGAGGAGTTGCTAGCTGCAGGGATTATTCGCCCGTCAGAATCAAGTTACGCGGCGGCCACGGTGGTGGCTGCTAGGAAGGACATCACGGGAAAGATTCTAGCGAAGCGGATGTGCGGGGATTTTCGGGAGCTGAACAAGATTACAAGCCTAGACAGATACCCTATGCCGACTGCTGAAGACATTTTCGACCGGCTGGAAGGGGCCACCGTCTTTACCACCTTGGACCTGCGGCAGGGCTTCAATCAAATAGGCATTAGAGAAGCAGATAAACGGAAAACAGCATTTCACGGGGTGGACGGTTTGTATGAGTACAACGTTATGCCTTTCGGGCTTCGTAACGCACCAGCAGTGTTCCAGAGAGCCATGGATCAAGTGCTGAAGGGGGTTCCAGCCGCAGCATGCTACATTGATGACGTGTTGATTTACAGCAGCAGCAAAGAACAGCATGTGCAAGATCTGAAGCAGACTCTGGAGGCAATAGCAGCTGCGGGGCTGACGTGTCACCCAGATAAGTGTAAGATAGCGAGGCACACGGTGGCTTACCTGGGGTTTGAAGTGAAGGGCGGTCGGCTGGCCATACAAGAGGCAAAGGTTAAGGTGCTGGAGAACCTGGCAGCGCCAAAGGATAAGACAGGGCTGCGGGCGTTACTCGGCTTCCTGAATTATTACAGGAAGTTTGTGTCAAACTTCAGTCGCCGTGCCTACGTGCTGAACCAGCTGCTGAGGGAAGGGAAGAGCTGGCAATGGGGAGAGGTGGAGGAGGCAGCAAGGCAGGACTTGCTCGAAGCAGTTAGGACAGGGACCTTACTGCAGATACCGAGGGCAGAAGCGCCTTTCATCCTGTACACGGACTGGAGCAGTACGGGAATGGGAGCGGTGCTCTGCCAAGAAATCGAGGGAGAGGAAAGAGTGATAGCCTTTGCCAGCCGAAGCTGCAGCCCATCCGAGGCTAACTACTGCTCATACGAGGGAGAGGGCCTGACGGCAGTGTGGGGAATCACGCATTTCAAGGTATACCTGCAGGGCCGGCACTTCACATTAGTGACTGATCATCAGCCACTGCTATGGTTGATGACTAATCAAGAGCTGACGGGAAGAAACGCTCGATGGGCTATCAAGTTGTTGGGATTTGACTTTGAGATCCGGCACCGACCGGGTAAAACACTGCAGCATGCAGATGGGCTGTCAAGGAACCCACCACCGATGCAGCCGGTAGCGCAGCTGGCGGCCTTAGCCCACACCGTGGCCGTAAGCTGGGGGCAGGAGAAGGGAGAGAAGCGGTTAGCAGATATATGGGAGGACGAGGAGACCATGAGCTGGATCAAAGGGGAGCCACTGGAGGAGGAAGGCGTAAGTGAGAGAGCAAGAGCCAGAGGGCAGCATTACAGATGGTTTCAGGAGCAGCTGCAGCTGAGGACCAGCGAAGGATGGAGGGTAGTGCCGCAGCCGCAAGAGAGGAACAGGATCATGGGGAAGGTGCATGCGAAGCTGGGACATTACGGCATCACCAGGACACGGCAGCTGCTGAGCACCATGTACTGGTGGGCAAGCATGGGGAAGGATGTGGCAGGACTGGTAGCCAGCTGCGAGGCTTGTCAAAGGAATAAAGCAAGGCTGGAAAAGGAGAGGGAGGAGCTGCACTCACTACCGATTCGGGGGTTAGGTTACAGGTGGTCGCTGGACCTGGCAGGAGAGTTACCATTATCAAAAGGAGGGAAGCAGTACATCCTGATCATGGTTGAGCACACGAGCAAATGGGTGGAGGCGCGAGCATTACCAAGCAAGAGTAGCGCACTGATAGCGGACGCATTCGAGGAGTTAGTACTGACCAGGTACGGTGCATGTGGGGAGGTGCTTACCGATCAAGGGACAGAATTTCAAGGGAGCTTTGATGAGCTGCTAGAGGAGATGGGCATTACGCATCGTGTCACCTCAAGGTATCACCCTCAATCGGACGGGCTGACAGAGAGGCTCATACAAACCGTGAAGAAAGGACTTCGGGCCTATGGAGAGACACACAAGAGGAGTTGGGACAGGGATCTCTGGTGGGTGCTTGCGGGATACCGGTTTGCGAAGCAGGCAGCGCTGAAGCATCTGTCCCCGTATCATCTACTGTACGGACGGGACCTGGTGCTACCTGTGGATGCACCGAAGCTGCTCTCGGCGACGATTGAAGCGGACGAGCCGAGCCTGTGGGCGGGATTAGCGGAGAAGAGGGCGAGGTATCTGAAAGAGCTGACTCCAGCTGCCTTGGATAATCTACACGTGGCGCAGCTGAGGGATGCAAGGCGGTACCAGCAGCGCAAAGCAGGAGGGATGGGAGGAAAGAGTCACCAAGTGGAAGCGGGGCAGGAGGTGTACCTGCGCAGGGCTAAGCGAGATACGCTGGACTTAGCTGTGGGACCGGAGCGATGGAGGGTGAAAGAGGTAAGGGAGTCGGGGGTGCTAGTGCTGGAGGATGATCGAGGGGAGTACCTGAAGGAGCATATCACCAACGTGGCCAGGGCGGGAAGGGAGAAGCCTCAGGCATTGGATCCCGTGTCTGGAGCAGCTCGGGTGCGTGCTCAGTCACGGGAGGGGGCAGGGAAGCCTGAGATACGAGGAGGGGATCAGAACAGAGTGATTACATACGCCAGGAGGAAGAAGGGATGAGCCGGTCACCTGGATGAGAGGTGGAGGGAGAGGGAGTGAGGAAGTCAGGCAGGGATGCAAGGGAGAGTGAGAAGGAAGGGACAGCAGAGGGGATTCACGACAGCTGTCGCGTGATTAACACTTAGCTGGCAACTAAGTGTGAATTACACAGCAGCCAAGGTGAGGTGTACTATAGTTTACTGCTTTTTGCATTTTACTTTGTTTGCTCTTTTGGAATGTTACTGTACTATACAGAGTCGAGCTGCTGAGGATTTCGAGGTGGTTAGGGGGGAGGTTGGTGGCGAATTCGATTCCAGCCAGCCTGGGAATTCAATTCGCCATTCACCAGGCTGGAAGGCGGTGCATGCCTAGTGGGCCGAGTGGGACCCAGCTAGCACCTTGAAGCCTACGCGATCAGCTCGGCTGACTCGCGCTTAGGAGTAGAGGTAGCTTGCGGGACAAGGCACCTAGGCAGGAGGGGATGTAGACTGGGGTAGCGCTCAGACTCGTTGCTTTTTGCTTGTATGTTTCTCGTTTACTGCAATTGTGATTTCCTAAACCACGGGGAACTAGCAGTAGAGAGGAGCTGAAGCAAATCGGCGGAGCCCTTGCGAGGGAGTTAAGTCTTGTTTCACGGGAAGCCTGAGATACGAGGAGGGGATCAGAACAGAGTGATTACATACGCCAGGAGGAAGAAGGGATGAGCCGGTCACCTGGATGAGAGGTGGAGGGAGAGGGAGTGAGGAAGTCAGGCAGGGATGCAAGGGAGAGTGAGAAGGAAGGGACAGCAGAGGGGATTCACGACAAGTAGGGTAGGGAGGGGTGGAGAGGGGTGGAGAGGGGCTTAGAGAGTGGAGAACGGGATGGTGAAGGTGAGCGTGTGTGTGCCCTGTGCCATCATCCTCTTGGACAGAATGAAGTACTCCGTGTGGTAGATGTGCTCGATCTCGCTGCCCTGCCAGGTAGAGAGCGGTGGAGAGGGGTGGAGCGAGGTGCAGAGAGGTAGAAGGGGATAGAGAGGGGTGGAGTGGAGAGGGGTGAAAATCAACCAACTCAACAACCATCCCAGATACCTGCAGAGCACATATCCAGCAACACACCTCCACGATCCCATCAGCACACATACAACCCCTTGCCAAGTTGCCATTCCATCCCGACCACCCGCTGACCTCCATTCCACCCATAATCACCACTCTCTACCCATATATCCACCGCTCACCTCCACCCATATCCACCAGCGCTGGGCATTGCCGTGAAATCGTTCTTTCCACTGGAAGGTGGGCGTCACATAAAGAGTCACCTGCCAGGGTTGAAGGGGAAGAGGGTGGGTGGAGAGTGCTTTTGAGAATTCTCTTACAAGCATCTTTCCACTGAAAGGACTTTTGAGGCGCCTCAAAAATTCTTTCCACTGAAAGGTGGGCGGTGCATCACACAGAGTGCCACCTGCCTGTCAGGTGACCCTCTAGACATAGAGTAGAGGGTCACATAGAGGAATGAGAGCATTCGGAAAAGAGGGACAGACAAAGCACGGTGCCGCAGGTGTGTAAGTGTGCAGTGGTCACGCTTGAAGAAAAGGAGGTGGTGGCGGATGGATGTGGTGTGGAGGGGCGAACAAAGTATCCCGAGAGAACACAAGCATTGAGAAAGGGAAGGCGTACCTATAACACGGTTGATTTTTGAGTCGACTCAAAAAAAGGGAAGTGGCACCTGTAACACGGTGCGGGTGATGACTTTTGAGTCGACTCAAAAGGGAAGTGGCACCTGTAACACGGTGCGGGTGATGGGGCTGATGTGCGCGTCGAGCTCCAGATAGGGGAACTGGGAAACACACTGTGACACCAACTGAGGGATGAGAGGGGAAAGGGAAGGACAGGAGAGAGGAAGAGGAGAGAAGAGAGGGGGGAAGAAATTAAAGCCGAGGGTCAGTGAGTAAGAGGGTCATCCCACAATAGTGATAATGAAAGCACAAGCTGAGGCTTGCAAACAGGAAAGGGAAGAGGATACAATACTCCAGCTAAACCCGAAACCCAGGATACAATGACTGCTGCAGCAAGAATACAAGACATGGATACATCATACGGGCTAACAGAAAGACTCGAATTGGAGAAGAATCAGAACAGAGACGGTGTCGCTTAATGAACTGCAACAGGCCAGCCCACCTTAGCAGCGTGGGGCGAGCGGATGATGGCAGCAATGTCACTGTCGTCCATGTCACACAGCCGATCTAGATGCAGCCCTCGGTCCTCTAGCTTGAACAGTACCTGAAAGTCCTACCTTGGCAGCAGCACCACCACAGCCCAGCAGGCCAGCCCACCTTAGCAGCGTGGGGCGAGCGGATGATGGCAGCAATGTCACTGTCGTCCATGTCACACAGGCGATCCAGATCCAATCTAGGCCTCACTCTTCTGGCTTGACCAATGACCAGTACCTATAATTCCTACCTTGGCAGCAGCAGCACCGCCCATCAGGCCAGCCCAGCAGGCCAACCCACCTTTGCATCATAGGCCAGCTCACCTTGGCAGCATAGGCCAGCCCACCTTGGCAGCATAGGCCAGCTCACCTTGGCAGCATAGGCCAGCTCACCTTGGCAGCATAGGCCAGCTCACCTTGGCAGCATAGGCCAGCTCACCTTGGCATCATAGGCCAGCTCACCTTGGCAGCATAGGGCGAGCGGATGATGGCAGCAATCTCACTGTCGTCCATGTCACACAGGCGATCCAGATCCAGCCCCCGGTCCTCCAGCTTGAACAGTACCTGGTGCAGAGGAAGGGGCGCACAGGCAGACCACAGCACAGGCATAGGCATAGATTTGAGGCGTTCTTAGCCGTCTCAAAAAAGGAGTGTTTTGAGACGTCTCAAAACACTCCTTTTTTCACCTGGTGCAGAGGAAGGGGCGCACTCGCACAGGCAAATCGCAGCACAGGCATAGGCATAGATTTGAGGCGTTCTTAGCCAAGCATGCCACACAGCCGGACGAGATCCAGCCCACTCGATCCTCCAGCTTGAACAACACTTGGTGCATGCACACACGAGAAAAGGCAAAGAGCGAGAGAACAGCAAGAGAAAGAGAGAGAGCACATGCATGGATGGATACTATAAGCCATCCATGCATGTCGGGGAGAGCGCATGGGCAACGTCATATCCAGCAAGGAGGCAACCATCCACTTCACCAAAGAGAGGTGGATTACCTCTTACCTTCCTGTGCCTCATGAGGCGGAGGGGTGGGCAGGGCACAGATCCCTTTGAGACGCCTCAAAAGACCAACCTCTTGAGAGAATACAGATTCAAACTGCCTGACAGGATGCTGATGCAGACAGATGTGCTGATGCAGACAGATGTGCTGATGCAGACAGATGTGCTGATGAAGACAGATGTGCTGATGAAGACAGATGTGCTGATGCAGACAGATGTGCTGATGCAGACAGATGTGCTGATGCAGACAGATGTGCTGATGCAGACAGATGTGCTGATGCATGGCTTGGCCATCTCCGGCAGTGAGGCCGCCAGGCTTTTGTCTTTGTTTCTGCGAGAGAGGAAGTGATTACCTCCTGTGAAATCACGGACTCAAACTGCCTTAGAGGATGCTGGTGCGGCCAGATGCGCTGATCCACCGCCTTGGCCATCTCCAGCAGGGAGGCCGCCAGGGAGCACCACCTAAGTGGACCAAAAGGGGCTGAATTACCTACCTCCTGTGAAATCACGGACTCAAACTGCCTCAAAGGGTGCTGGTGCGGCCAGATGCGCCGATCCACCGCCTTGGCCATCTCCAGCAGAGAAGCTGCCAGTCAAGGGGGGTGTTGCGACCTGATCTCACCTCCTGTGAAATCACAGACTCGAACTGCCTCAAGGGGTGCTGGTGTGGCCAGATGCGCTGATCCACCGCCTTGGCCATCTCCAGCAGGGAGGCCGCCAGGGAGCACCATCCTCGTTTTAGAGCGATTTCGAAGAGCGCACGTGTGATGCGGCCCAGCGAGGCGGATACATAGGCGGTGTCAGCTATGAGTGAGAAGGAATCGAGGTAGCCGCGAGATAGGTACACCTGCAAGACGGGGGAGGGAGGAAGTGAGCGGAAAGAGGGCAGGCAGGGGGACGAAGGAATGAAAGGACAGAGAGAGAACATTCAATTGTGGCTGACGGAGGAATGAAAGGACAGAGAGAGAACATTCAATTGTGGCTGACGGAGGAATGAAAGGACAGAGAGAGAACATTCAATTGTGGCTGACGGAGGAATGAAAGGACAGAGAGAGAACATTCAATTGTGGCTGACGGAGGAATGAAAGGACAGAGAGAGAACATTCAATTGTGGCTGACGGAGGAATGAAAGGACAGAGAGAGAACATTCAATTGTGGCTGACGGAGGAATGAAAGGACAGAGAGAGAACATTCAATTGTGGCTGACGGAGGGTGGGGGTGATATTCTCAGTGTCAGCAACTCGCCGCCTACACTCGCCTGGATGAGAATGTTGATCTTCCCAATCTTGTCCTCTGGCCCGCCCTTCACGTCCAGCGGGCGGCACTTTTGATGATGACAATGTTCACTTACTGATTGTCCTCACATAAGAGATACGAGACTAATCCGCCTTCACTCGCCTGGATGAGAATGCTGATCTTCCCGATCTTGTCCTCCGGCCCGCCCTTCACATCCAGCGGGCAGAACTTGCAAGAATGGCGACATTTGCCGATTGCTTGTGCCTACAGAGAGGGCATGCTCTGTCCTCGCTCATTCACCCTGACTGCAGAGAGTACTTTCCTCCTGGACTCGCCTGGATGAGAATGTTGATCTTCCCGATCTTGTCCTCTGGCCCGCCCTTCACGTCCAGAGGGCAGAACTTGGCAAGAATCACATCCTCGGCTGTTGCTTGTCCTTACATAACAGACACTACAAACCCTCCTCCTACACTCGCCTGGATGAGAATGTTGATCTTCCCGATCTTGTCCTCCGGCCCGCCTTTCACATCCAGAGGGCAGAACTTGGATCGCAGAGTGAAGAGCTCTGGCATCTCCTCCTCCCTCACCACTATGTTCTCGAACTCGGATGACCGTGCTATGACGTCGACGATCTGGGACAGGGAGGAAGAGGGATGTGGAGGAGAAGAGTCAAGATGAAGGATGGGTGAAGAGCTCGGCCATCTCCTCCTCCCGCACTCGCACCACTATGTTGTCGAATTCAAACGACTGTGCTGTCAGATCCACAATTCAAACGACTGTGCTGTCAGATCCACAATTCAAACGACTGTGCTGTCAGATCCACAATTCAAACGACTGTGCTGTCGGATCCACAATTCAAACGACTGTGCTGTCGGATCCACAATTCAAACGACTGTGCTGTCAGATCCACAATTCAAACGACTGTGCTGTCAGATCCACAATTCAAACGACTGTGCTGTCAGATCCACAATTCAAACGACTGTGCTGTCAGATCCACAATTCAAACGACTGTGCTGTCAGATCCACAATTCAAACGACTGTGCTGTCAGATCCACAATTCAAACGACTGTGCTGTCAGATCCACACTTCAAACGACTGTGCTGTCAGATCCACAATTCAAACGACTGTGCTGTCAGATCCACAATTCAAACGACTGTGCTGTCAGATCCACAATTCAAACAACTGTGCTGTCAGATCCACAATTCAAACGACTGTGCTGTCAGATCCACAATTCAAACGACTGTGCTGTCAGATCCACAATTCAACCGACTGTGCTGTCAGATCCACAATTCAAACGACTGTGCTGTCAGATCCACAATTCAAACGACTGTGCTGTCAGATCCACAATTCAAACGACTGTGCTGTCAGATCCACAATTCAAACGACTGTGCTGTCAGATCCACAATTCAAACGACTGTGCTGTCAGATCCACAATTCAAACGACTGTGCTGTCAGATCCACAATTCAAACGACTGTGCTGTCAGATCCACAATTCAAACGACTGTGCTGTCAGATCCACAATTCAAACGACTGTGCTGTCAGATCCACAATTCAAACGACTGTGCTGTCAGATCCACAATTCAAACGACTGTGCTGTCAGATCCACAATTCAAACGACTGTGCTGTCAGATCCACAATTCAAACGACTGTGCTGTCAGATCCACAATTCAAACGACTTGTTTTGAGTCGACTCAAAACACACCAACATCCACAATCTGGGATTGGGGGGAGAAGAGGTGGGAGAGTGACAGCGACAAGACGGGGTGGAAGGATGGGTGAAGAGCTCATTCATCTCCTCCTCGCACACAACTATGTTCTCAAACTCAGATGACCATGCTGTTAGTATTAAATCCACCATCTGATGTAAGGAGGCAAGAGAAAGGATAAGGAAAATGAAGCAAGGAAATATGGGGGATATGCAAGGTCTATCTCCGTGACTTACATGCAGCTGCAACTCTTCCCCCAACCCTTTTCCCACACCTTCTCCCTCATCTCCCCCTCCCTCTCCCCTCCTGCTCACCTCGTTCTCGCTCATGTGTCGCCTCAGCAGCTCGTTATAGGTCTCCACAGACGAGTATCGGATGTAGAAGTGACTCGCCACGCGCCCCAGCTCAGTCACATACAGCTGCCCGCTGCGCTCGTCGAACCTCATCATCTTGGCTCGGTCCACAGCCCTATTACTCTTTGAGTTTTGAGGCGTCTTAAAAATCATCTTGGCTCGGTCCAGATCCCTACTACTTCCCTTCGCTCCCTCCTTCCTTCCCGTGCCCTGCCCTCCCTCCCCCCCTCTCTCTCACCTCGCTCTCGCTCATGTGTCGCCTCAGCAGCTCGTTGTAGGTCTCCACAGACGAGTATCGGATGTAGAAGTGACTCGCCACGCGCCCCAGCTCAGTCACATACAGCTGCCCGCTGCGCTCGTCGAACCTCATCATCTTGGCTCGGTCCAGAGACCGAGCAGCTTCGGTGATCAAGGCCTGGCGCCGAGCCACCAGGCCCGGATCCATAGCTACCTGAAAGGGTGAAGGGATACAGGGTGAGCACATGGGTGGCTGGCTCAATAATGCAGATTTTTGCTTTGGCGTATCAATCAACACACCTACATGCATGCACTGTCCCTTAGACCGCTGCACTGACATGACATCAACTTAAAGGCACATGCATTCACATCCTGCCATGTCATGCCATAGGCCAGCGGGTTGGCCTGCATGCGCACAAACAGAACAGGTACGTGTACCCCAGCCACCTGGTCTCTCGTCTATTGAGTCAACCCACACACCCATCATAAAAACAAAACATCTTGCCACATCATTCTATAGGCCAGCGGGTTGGCCTGCATGCACACGAAGAGGTGCGTGTATCCCAGCCAGACTGGCACCCTGCTCCCAGCACAACCCCATGACCCTACCACTCACACCCTGCCATGTCATGCCGTATGCCAGAGGGTTGGCCTGCATGCGCACGAAGAGGTATGTGTATCCCAGCCAGGCCGACGCCCCAGACAGCACAACAACCCGTTAACCCCTAACACTCACATCTTGCCATGTCATCCCGTACGCTAGCGGATTCGCCTGCATGCGTACGAAGAGGTACGTGTACCCCAGCCAGGCCGACGCCTCCTTTACGTTAGTCACCGTCCCCAGCACCACCTCCGCGTTCAGATTGTCCTTCAGCATCGCCACGAACTGAGATGGAGGGGATAGAGATGGGGAGTAACGAGAACGTTGAGAGGTGTATCACAGAAAGAAGAGGATAGGGAGTGCCATCCCCAGCGTAACCTGTTTTGAGGCGCCCCACGACTTGGGTTGGCCTGCATGCGCACGAACAGATACGTGTACCCCAGGTACGTGTACGGTGTACCCCAGGTACGTGTACGGTGTACCCCAGGTACGTGTACGGTGTACCCCAGGTACGTGTACGGTGTACCCCAGGTATATGTACGGTGTACCCCAGGTACGTGTACGGGGTACCTGAGACTTGTGATTATCTGAGACTTGTGATTATCTGAGACTTGTGATTATCTGAGACTTGTGATTATCTGAGACTTGTGATTATCTGAGACTTGTGATTATCTGAGACTTGTGATTATCTGAGACTTGTGATTATCTGAGACTTGTCGTATGTATCTGAGATTCAAAACCACCAGAGCTCACAGGACTGCGCCTCTAATCTCCTGAGACCCGTTGTAATCACCTGAGATTCAAAACAACCTGATGCTACACCTGAGCTGAGTCTCTACTCACCTGCGACTCGATGGGCAGTTGGTGGGTCATGAGGCGGAGATAGTGTGCAAGCTGGTTGTGGGCCGTGATGATGATGCCCTCCCCACTTGAGTCAAACTGCGGCCGCCCTGCTCGACCGAAGATCTGCACGTGGGGGGATGGAAACGGATGGTTGCACAAGGGGGGCGTTGAGAGAGAGGACTTAGGTGCGGAGGCAGTGAGCGAGCTGGTTGTGAGAGAACAAACCACAGTTTGTGACGATTATGCCCTCCCCACTCAACTCAAACTGTGGCCGACCAGCCCTGCCGAAGATCTGTGAGAGAACACAAATAAAAAGGCACGGCTTGAAACCTCTGAGTGACTGAGTTGAGTGCTCGGCGAAAGGGAAGGCAGCAAAACATGATGCAAACGTGGGCCCATGCCACGTCTAAGGGCGATGAAACAGCTTGCATAAACGACGCATGCCCATGCCTGTATCCTTCCTTCTGCTGCACCACACAGCACTGCACTGCACACCTCATCATCTCATCTCCCCAACCTGCATCACATCACATCCAGCATGCTCACTGCGCCACACAGCACCGCATTGCACCTCGCAGAAACTCATCTCACCTGCATCACATCGAGCATCCCCAGCTCCCGGAAACCGCCAACCTTGGCATCGTACAGTTGAGTGCCCTGTTGGCAGGGAGGGAGGGAGAGGGGGGACGAGGGGAGAAAGGAGAGGGGGCTCCATAAGATTTTAGATACAAATTGTGGATGTGTCACTTTTGAGAATGGAAGAGGTTAGAAAGAGACTCGTGGCTTGCTGCGAACCGAAACCATCCATGTGTAACTTTCAAAAGGGCTACCTGGCTACAGATTAGAGACGCACTTTGATAATGAATATGCAAGCCGGAACGTTAGATTTGATATTTTTTTAGAAAGAAAACCCCCTACCTGTTAATTCCTTCAATGGGCTACTTAGTAGCCGCCACTATTGAAAGACACACCTTGATAATGACAGTGTGGGCCGGCAGGTTAACTCCCCATGCCAACGTGGCTGTGCACACAAGCACCTGCGATGGGATGGGATAGGCGAACGGATGGGGAGGAGAGCAAGAGCGCGTTGAGTATACATCTCAATGGACTTGCAGCCCGTGACAGAGAGCCATTGAGAGAACAACAAAGGAGGAGCAAGTGAGCGAGAGAGGATGAGAAGTGGTTCACGGGCGGATTAAACAGCACTGGAAAGAAACGAGAGTTGAGGAGAGCGGCCTGTCTCAATCCATGCGTACCTAAGTTGGATATTACGCTTACGTTTACGTACGTTTTACGTTACGCCCGAGGGTCTAAAATGAGTTTACGTTTACGGGCAGATTTTTTTTTGCTTAGCTGCCCGGCTTGCACAAAAAAATCAGGGGGTTTGAATATGGCAATATAACCACCATATATGATAATCTCTAAGCACAAAATTATTTGGCGTCACAAAGTGACGCATGTTACTTTTGCGAGGTGTACAAAACCAGCTCGAGCTCTGCCCCCCGATTTCACGCGATATCGCGTGAGTCCCCCGCCTCTCCCCGCTATGCTACTTCGATCTCCCAACCACCCCCTTCTGTTCTAGTCCCGTCCCGTGACGTACGCGGGACCCAGAAGGCTAAGATCGACGACCTAATCCGCCTTCCTAAATTTACCATGTAGAGCTAGCTACGATATTCAGATCTCAATCACCATACTATGCGCTGCCTTGAACGGTTCTGCAGCGACATTTCTCTCCAGGGCCAAGCCGGTCAAATTTAGCTCTTCCCTATTTTTTTTCCGACATTTTTTTTACCTGCCCGGATACAAGTTACGCGTATTTACGCGTACGTAAACTTAAACATAATGTTACGCTACGCGTAACATTATGTTTACGTAGGCCCATGGACGTACGGACCCATCTTAGATGCGTACACATTTGCGCCCTCACCTTCACGTACAAGAAGGAAAGTTCTATAGGATCATACGTATGCACACGTCCCCATCTCACCTTGTTAGTGAGCTCCATGCTGAAGAACATGCCATACCATCTGGTGACTCTCAGTGAGCGAACAAACGGAGAAAAGAAAACTAAATGGTTTGATTCATGTGCACTAGATGGTGTGACCTTGATGCTGCTACTATCCATACCCATCTCACACATGCCCTTGCATCGCACCTTGATGAGCCCCATGCTGACGAGCTTCTATGTGAGCGAGAGATCCAGGCGCCGCATGCCATCCCGTGCTGACACCCTGTGCATATAGGCAGGTGCGTGGACCCTCACAAACCTGGCTCGTCACCTGCCAGGAGGCCGTGGCCTGGCTCGTTCCGCCTTATTTAGCCTCATCATCTCATCAAACCCACCCCAATTCCTCCTGCTTGCTATCTCCACCCAAGAATTCAACAATGCTTCATTGGCGTTGACTGTCACCATGTCACGGTTCCTCCATTAAAGATCAATATTCAGATCGTGGAGAGAAGTTAGGAATTCAACAAGGTCTATGAATATTCTGCTCGAGTCCCTCCAGGTGGGTATTTTGATAAGAGCAATCTTTAGATGTTGTATGTCATGTTGACAACTTATTTCTTGTAGTGACGGAGTTGCTCCAGCCTCTTGTGGAAGAACATTGTCATTCTTTATCCTACGTTTTTAACAAAAGGTTTCATCAGGAGACTAGTCGTTTCTCCAGGAGACTAGTCGTTTCTCCACGTCGTTCGAAATTCGGCTTCCTCCTAAGCTTGACTATCCATATGGCATTTTGAATCAGCAACCTAGTGCTCCTCTTCCGAGCCAAGGCATGCGGAAGGTGGAGCCGCTACGGGACAGCGATTTCGTCAATGTTCCGAACAGGACCAGGACCAGCACATACACCTCTGAGGAGTACAACAAGGCATGGGGTCTTGGAAAGCTTTTACGTGCTAAGAGAGCTTCTGGTTTTGAGCAAATTTCCATACCGAGAGGCAATCATGCTTATGTGGATTACCTGTAAGAAAAGCAATGTGATGAAGCTGGGAAAAACCGCAACTCAAGAGAAAATCAGCGAGAATGCTCACACTAGAGCTATTAGCTTGTTGTTTTAGTACACATTTGCAAGGCTTGTAAAAAATGCGCTAGCCTGAAGTTGAATTTCCAAACAGCCTTGCAAATGTGAACTGAAACAACAAGCTAACAGCTCTAGTGTGAACATTCTCGCTAATTTTCTCTGAGTTGCATTTTTCCCAGCTTCATCACATTGCTTTTCTTACAGGTAATCCAAATAAGCATGACTGCCTTTCGGTACGGAAATTTGCTCGGACCCAGAAGCTCTCTCAGCACGTAAAAGCTTTCCAAGACCCCATGCCTTGTTGTACTCCTCAGAGGTGTATGTGCTGGTCCTGGTCCTGTTCGGAACATTGACGAAATCGCTGTCCCGTAGCGGCTCCACCTTCCGCATGCCTTGGCTCGGAAGAGGAGCACTAGGTTGCTGATTCAAAATGCCACCCGGATAGTCAAGCTTAGGAGGAAGCCGAATTTCGAACGACGTGGAGAAACGACTAGTCTCCCAATGAAATCTTTTGTAAAAAACGTAGGATAAAGAATGACAATGTTCTTCCACAAAAGGCTGGAGCAACTCCGTCACTACAAGAAAAAAGTTGTCAACATGACATACAACATCTAAAGATTGCTCTTATCAAAACACCCACCTAGAGGGACTCAAGCAGAATATTCATAGACCTTCTTGTTGAATTCCTAACTTCTCTCCATGATCTGAATATTGATCTTCAATGGAGGAACCGTAAGATGGTGACAATCAACGCCAATGAAGCATTGTTGAAATTCTTGAGTGGAGATAGCAAGCAGGAGGAATTGGGTGGGTTTGACGAGATGATGAGGCTAAAAAAGGCGGAACAAGCCAGGCCACGGCCTCCTGGCAACCTTGATGCTCGTCATACAACTGATACATCTCACCTTGATGAGTCCCATGCTGAAGAGCTTCTCTATGAGCGAGCGGTCGGGGCGCAGCATGTCAAATGTCTCATGCTAGCTGTGCACCACCTTATGCATGCACGTGTATATGAACACGCCACATGCCCTCAATCCCAGCCTCACCTTGATGAGCCCCATGCTGAAGAGCTTCTCTGTGAGCGAGCGGTTGGGGTGCAGCATGCCTGCATGGTGGATGCTCGCTGTGTGCCCTTTGTGTAAGTGCGGTGAGCATGCACTTGATCTCAACCACACAACCCCTCCCTCCCACCCGCACCTTGATGAGCCCCATGCTGAAGAGCTTCTCTGTGAGCGAGCGGTCGGGGCGCAGCATGCCAGCATGGTGGATGCACTTTGCACCTAGGCAGATGCGCATACTCTCACTAGCCTACGACCTCGATGCCATTCTTACACACACAAATTCCACCATCTCACACAATCACCTTGATGAGCCCCATGCTGAAGAGCTTCTCTGTGAGAGAGGGGTCCATGCACAGCATCCCCACAAGGGCATCGAGCTCCCTCCCACTCACTATGTACGCATATACGCTCACCTATGACCTTGATGCTGCTACTACCCATACCCATCTCACACATGCCCTCTCATCGCACCTTGATGAGCCCCATGCTGAAGAGATTTTCAATGAGCGAGCGGTCGGGGCGCAGCATGCCAGCATGGTGGATGCTCTTTGCACATAGGCAGATACGCAGCCTACGACCTCGATGCTATTCCTACACACGCACACCCTCCCATCTCCCATCATACCTTGATGAGCCCCATGCTGAAGAGCTTCTCCGTGAGAGAGCGGTCGGGGCGCAGCATGCCGGCATGGTGGATGCCAAAGCCCGCCTGGAAGAGCTCCCCCATCTCCCTGTTGCGCGACCTCATCACATCCTTCTGCTTGAGTTGGTGGGGGCGAGGGGGAGAAACAGCAAAGCAGAGACGGGGATGAGCACAGCAGAGAGCAGCATGCCAGCATGGTGGATGCCGAATCCAGCCTGAAGGATCCCCCGTCTCCCTGTTGCGCGACCTCATCCGAGTTTGTATGTGGCTGCTCTTGCGGGTCGAACAGCTCCACTCTACCTCGCCGTTCCTCTGCACCAATCTTCAAACACAGTCACCGCACCACCACAGAGCAGCACTGCACATCTCTGCTGTACCATCTCTGCCACACCGCACCTCCATGAGTTTGTACTGCGGAAAGAGATGGTACTGCTGTACCATTTCTTTCCAGGGCCTAGAAAATACATCCCTGCCACACCGCACCTCCATGAGTTTGTACTGTGGTTGCTCCTGCGGGTTGAACAGCTCCGACTCCCCGTTCCTCTGCGCCGTTTCCATCTGAAGGGACAGGGTGGTGACAATTGGTGACAGATGGTGATGGGTGGTGATGGGTGGTGACGGATGGTGCGATCAGGTTATGACTTGAAATGAGAGGGATGAGCAAGGAAGCTCACACGTTCCCAGCAGTGATGTTCATGGCAGGGCAGCAGGATGCGATAATAGCACAGCTTCAAATGCACGTGGTGATTGCATGGTGTTTTGAGTCGACTCAACACACGACTCATGGCAGCAGGGTTAATAGCGCAGCACACACCAGTATCCTCGCAGTCTTAACCGTGTCCTTCCGGGAATGCACAAACACCATCGCCTGCTTCCCATTCTTCACCGCATTCATTGCCTGCCAAGGAGAAATAAGGGTCAAACAAGTCAGTCACACACACACAAAGCCACGCAGATAAAAAACCATCTCATCCATCTCATTGCAGAACCATTTTCCAGAATTTCGCCCAGCAAAGTTACTTCCCCTTCTTAACCACGTTAATTGCGTGCCCGATGCGATATTTGAGTCAACTCAAAACACGGTTCAAGGCCGGCATGCAGTGAAGAACCTGAGCATTCGAGTAATCAAGACTAGGTGTGAACGCCTCAGAAACAACATACTTCTCATATGCAATCTCGTGCATGCGATGCGAGGGTTCCAATCCTATGCAAGCAAGACTCAGAAGAGCACTAACTACAGTCATCAACTGTGGAAATTCTCACGCACGGATGTAATAACTCTTCGTGCTTACCCACCCACCTTCTCATACGCAATCTCGTGCATGAGAGTGTTGCGGCGGGCAAAATTCGGTTCAGAGACCCCAATGTACTGCTGGGAGAGCGGCACGGGACGGTAGGAGGCGTCGAAATAGAAGAGCCCCGTGTCAAGGTTGACCCGCAGGAACTGAGCCACCTGTGGGTGTGGGGGTTTCAAGCAAGGAGGAGGGGGGCAGATATAGGAAAGCGCCAGTGTGTTGCTGGGAGAGCAGCATGGGGCGTCAGGATAGAGACCCCCTTGTCGATGTGCGAATTGTGCTACCTGTGCTGCATGTGCGAAGCGCGGGGGGGGAGAAGGTGGTGTTGGTGTTAGGCCCCAATCTCACATTTTGTACTTGTACTTTTATATCCTAGTTTAGTGTAGTTTGCACTTTGTGTTTGGTTGGGTGTACACCCACATCCCAACCAAACCCAAATGTAATCTCCAAGCAATCTCCAACCCACCAATTGGAGATTGCCTTGGGATTACCCTTGATTCCCTAGGATTGCCTCCTGATTCCCTCCTCATCCCTACCTTGCTCATTCCGGATGTACTTAAAGAGCTTTGAGCTCACTACTATAGTATCGATTCTAAGCTCAAGTTCTGACATGGTATCAGAGCAGCTCAACCGCATACGCGGATCGTGATCCTCTCATCTCTGCGGATACTTGTCCCGCAAACCTCGGGGAAGCCATCGCCAATCTCGTCGCCGTTGATTCGCGACATTCATCGGCGGAATTTCTCCCGCCAAATCTTCCCGTCACCATCGACGGAAACTTCTCTGGTAAGCGCATCGTCGGCGCTCTAACCTAACACTCGTTTTCATCAATTCGTCACTTCTTCTCCTCGACGGGCTGCCGCCCGTCGCCCTGCAGCTTCTCGTCGGGCCGCCGCCCGTCGCCCCGCAGCGTCATCTTCGGGCTGCCGCCCGTCGCCCCGCATCTGCACTCCTACCCCCATCCCCCCTCTTTCCCGCAGCTGAACAGGTGCAGCAACGCAGCCGAGCAGCAGCGTAGCCGCGAAGCTGAGGGTGGTGTGTGGGGGGGTGTGTGGGAATAGGACTAGTAGGTAGTTGACACTAAATTGGCGTCTCAGTCAAATTCTCCTTCGTAAACCCTAAACCTCCGGTTCTTCGAAATCTCCTTTGGAAACCCCAAACCTCAAGTTCCTATTGGTGACTTAAGAGCGGCGCTCCGCGCGAGAAGTTAAGGGGTCTCCACCATGGCTTTCTCGTCTTCCACCATGGCGAACCCCATCACCCCGCTCCGCCTTGAAGCCGATGGCTCTAGCTCCAACTTCAAGGCGTGGAGCTACGGAGTTGACAAGCACCTCCTGAGCCGTGACGTGCAGGGCCTTGACCTCAAGGACGTCCTCCTCAACCGTGGCAAGGGGAAACAGCCCACTCTTCCCCGTGAACCGACCGAATCTTCAAGTGATGCTGACGTGATGACGTACGAAGAAGCTGTTGAGAAGTACCGGAAGTGGGAGAAGGCCGATGCTGCCATCATCAGCGTCTTCATTGCCTCCACCCCTCCCGAACTTGTCAACACGTTCCACAACTACCCTACCTCCAACGCCATCTGGAAGTATCTCCAGGATCGGTTCATGAACAAGACGGCGGTCGGAGTGGCGATTCTCATCCCCAGCATGTTTCAAGTCCGCCTTGAGGACTGCTCAGGAATGGCTGATTACATCGCCAAGGTGCAGACCATTCATGGTGAACTCAAGGAGCTGGGTATAGTCTTCCCCGAACAAGCCCCTGCAGCCGCCCTTCTTGTTGGTCTCTCCTCGGCATATGAAGTGACGAGGAAGATGCTCCTCACGCTCTCAGCGGAAGACCTCACCTTTGCTAAGGTCTCCACCGCACTCCTCTCTGCCGAGAAAGACTCCACTGCTCAGGCCAAGGCATACGCCATCCGTGCTCCCATGCCCCTAGCAAGTGTTGCAGCAGCCCTTGCCTCGGCGCCTTTCCAGCGCAACCGCTTTCCTCCGTGCACCTACGTCGTCAAGTATGGCAACCGCAAGGGACAAGTGTGTGGTGGCACTAACCACCCCCTTGCCACGTGCTTCAAGAAGAAAGACGACGAGTGGTATGCCATCCACGGGGTTGACAAGAAGCCGCCAAACTGGATGCGCGCTCGTAAGGCCAATCTCGTTGAGGTCCAGGACCCCTCTTCGGCTAGTGCTAGTGACAGTGCTCCTGTTGATGTGCGTATCAACCTGTTGTTTCCTGGCACTGCCATGATTAATGAAGCCACTTCCCAGTACATCGACTCATCACAGGCACCACAGTACATAGAGTTCACACTCGACAGTGGGGCCACTCACACTGTGCTCAAGGAGACACTCTCCTTCAAACCCTATCCAGCACCTATCCCTCTCTTGGGAGCTGACTCCAGCTTCACCACCCTAGCCAAGGGCACCTCCACAGTCCCATGCCCAGCCTTCCCTTCCGGCACCGTCACTGGCATGTGCGTGCCTTCACTACGCCACAATCTAGTGGCTCAAACAGAAATTCAGAAAGCAGGGCTACGCACCATCTTCTCGGAGAATGAGGACCACTGCGACATCATTGACCCACTCACCAACAAGGTCTTGGCCCGCTTCACCCTCAATAGCAGCGGCCTCTACACGCTACGCGTTCCTCTCCCACAGGTTTCAACCACCCAAGCACAGGCTCCCATCACACCATGCACATGTCGCAGCCTCTCCAACCCGACCATCCTCTATCATCATCGGTTAGGGCACCCAAACTTCCGCACGCTTGCTGACATGGCCTCCAAGAAACTTCTTCTCGGCCTGCCAGCCACACTTCCTCCACCACCTGACTCACCCGCTCCCACGTGCCTTGATTGCACCAAGAGCAAACTGCGCCAACAGCCCCACACTGCCTCACCCACAATCGCAGCGGCACCACTGGACCTAGTGCACATGGACGTCTGGGGCCCTGCCCCTGTTCTTGCACGAGGTGGATATCGCTACTTCCTAGTTATCGTGGATGACCACTCACGATACGTCTCTGTTCACCTCCTCCACACTAAGGCTGAGGCTCCAGAGGTCATCATGGCGTGGGTCAAGCAGGCACAGACCACCTTTGACCTCAAGGTCAAGCGCCTTCACTCGGATGGGGGGGGTGAATTTTGCAACGACAAGCTTAAAGCCTTCTGCTCCTCCGAAGGCATCCAGCAAAACTTCACCCTCCCTGACAGCCCTCAACAGAACGGCATAGCTGAGAGCCGCAACCACACTCTAGTGCAGATCACTCGGTGCCTCCTCAGCCACTCCAACGCTCCACACTCTCTCTGGGGATACGCTCTCTACCACGCCGCCCTCCTCTACAACCTTTACCCCCATCCGCACCTTCCCGACACCACTCCAACCACACTCTGGCTCGGGAAAACGCCCACTGCTCGCTCTCTTCGCGTTTGGGGATGCACCGCCTATGTCCTCCTCAACCCTCAGGCTCGACGCCAGAACGGTGGCAAGCTCGGTCCCAAGACTCAAACGTGCATCTACCTTGGGCACAACGCCGACTCACCTGACTACCTCTTCCTCAATCCCTCCACTCAACAGTTGGTCAGGAGCCGCGACGTTGTCTTTGATGAGACCCGCCCATTCTACTCCCCTTCGGGACGGGACCCTCTCCCTGATCCACCCTCCCTCGTGTGGGCAGACTTTGACGCGCCTCCCGACCTCCCGCCTGCTCCTGCCCCCTCACCTCCTCCCTCTCCTGCCATCCCACCATCTCCCTCTGAGGTCTCTGACCCGGCCTCACCGGTGTCTTCGGCGGCTGCTCCGCCCCCCCCCCTCACCTTCCTCACTTCCCGCTGCGCCGCCCCCTCCGAGCGCACCTATCACCTACCATCGGCGGTCCCACCCTCCGGCCCCACCTCCTCCCCCAGTTCCCCCCACCACAGAGGAACCCGCTCTCCCACAGTCGCCCGAGCTGATCACGTACCGCCGGCGGCCCATTCCCCCACCCAAGCCTCCTAAGTCACCCTCTCCGACACCGCCTGCCCCGCCCTCCTCACCGATGGCTCATGGCACCCGCTCCCATCGCGCTGCTCTTCCACTCGCAATGGTTCTTCGATACACAATGATCACACCGCCTCCTCCTGCTGGGGGGGATGTGCCCTCTACCCTTCTAGAAGACAGGCATGAGGAGCTGTGTGATCTCCATGCAGTCATTCCTCAGCTCTCACACATCTTCCCCGATATCACTGGCTCACCCTCCCTCAACCTCGCGGAGAACCCGACCATC